CAGGAACAGCCAGATGGAAGAGATGAATAAGGCAAGGTGTGGCTTGGAGAGGCAGGGAGCTTCCATGCCCTCTTCAGCATGCTGCCCTCCCAGCACTTTGATGTATTCAAGAACCCAGGAACTTACTGAATCCCATTGTTTAGTAAGTTTAGTAAGGTTTTCATGGAGGTTTCATTACATAGGCATGATTGACTAAATCATTGGCCATTGGTGATAGAACCCAACCCCGTTCCCAGGAGGTCAAGGGGTGGGGCTGAAAGTTCCATCCTTTTAATCAAGGCTTGGTCTTTCTGGTTACCAGCCCCTGACCTGAAGCTATATAGGTCCTCTTACACTAGTCACCTTAGCATAGTATGATTGATTGGTGCTTATTATGAATAACAAAAGATGCTCCTATTACTCAGGAAATTCCAAGGATGTTAGCAGTTTTATTCTAGGAATGATGGACAAAGACCAGATAGGGATTTTTATTATTTCACATTTGAATATTCTGAATAGTTTGCATTATTAAAATGTTTTTTAAAACTAGAAGAACTCAACAAGAGGATTGGTATTAAAATGATGAAATAATATACAGCCATTAAAATTGTTGTGTATATGCATATACATATATATAGAGAGAGGAGTTTTTATAAGCAGTTGCAAACTTGATTAGCAATTTCAGCAGTTTCCAAATGGGTGGATTTGTTGGTAACAAATCCAGCAGAAGGAGAAGAGAATTATGCAAAGCTGCCAACACAGTACAGGCAGTCCACAGTTTAGGAAAGAGTTGTGTTCTAAAAGTTGGCTGTTTGAAATTCTGAACACGTTCCCAATGAAACAACGTTAGAAATACTCTGGTCCCAAGTCAGGCTAGAACAGCCTTCATTTTGCCTATGGAATTCTTGGAATACATGTAGTCTCCACACTTCTATTTATGATAGTGTTGAGTCAACTGCATCTTCGGTTTCAGTTTCAGCTAGAACCATCTAAAACTGATCTTCCTTCAGTAGAGTTGGGAATTTGGAGAATATTTTAAGCATAGCATAGCTTCAGATGTTAATTAAACTTCTGGCCAATGGCAACCTGTTAACTAAATCTTCAGAAAATAAGATAGATTTCTACACCTGCCCTTAACTCCAAGATTATAGTATGGAAATAAGATTTCCTTCAGAAGTTAAGAACTGCTTGTGATTGTCTTACTTATTTTTTTAATCCTAAAAGCAATACATATTCATTTAAAAATACTTAATTAAAAGTAGAGGTAATATCCTCCACTTGCTATTAAAATTATTTAGAAAATTGTGTTTTTGTGTACACATACAGCACAGATAAAACAAGTATGGCTAAAAAGAAGCAAAGCAATTGGTAAGTAAAGATGAAGGTTTGTTAGATTGTTCATATTCTTTCAACTTTCTGTAAGTTTGAAAATTTCAAAACAAAAAGGTGGAGATTTTTTTTAAAGTAGCAGGAATATTTGCTTATCTTCAATCCCCAACCTCATTCTCCTCCACGGAGTTCTCTGCTGCTAACAGTATGTATAGTTTTTCAAGTATCTTTTTAAGCATGTTTTTTAAATCCGTTTACAGAAAGTATTTTTTTTTTTTGCACAAATGGAATCTCAATATATATAGAATTATACTACTGTCACCAGACAAGGAGTTTTGTCCCAGACCCCAAGAGCAGGTTCTTGGCTGTCATGAAGGAAAGAATTCAGGGCAAGTCACAGAGTAGAGTGAAATTAAAATAGTTTATTACAGAGTAGGGCGTCCTCAAAGTGCAACAGGAGGGCACACCCATTTCAAATATAATGCTAATATTGGTATTAAGGAAGTGTACTTCATTACAGAGGCTTGTGATCCACTTGTGACGGGCTGTTAGTATTCTTACTTATGTTACTATTGATTTTAGCAAGAATTTATGAATGTACTACTATTTTTAAAGCAAAACCTATTCTTAAACTAAGAATACTTTTTGTTCTTAAAGTACTGGGACATTTCCAATAGTCCTGGGTCTTTAGTTAGTTAACATTACTAACTCGTTCCCTCAAGCATAAACGTCTTACAACCAAGAGTGCTCAGCCTCCTGGAAACAACGCAGCAGGTTTGGCTTTATCCAGACTTTATTCAAGATTGAGTCACTCTGCTTAGGATGCCTCTCACACTGTTTACTGATATTCTACTTGCTTTTAAAATGTAACAGTATGTATTCGTTTTCTCTTGCTGCTGAAAAATTACCACAAATGTAATGCCTTAAAACTACACAAATTAATTCAAGTTCTGAGGTCAGAATTCCAAAATGGGTTTTGCTGGGCTAAAATCAAGGTGTTGGCTGGGCTCCATTTATTCTGGAAGCTCCAGAAGAGACTTGATCTTGCTGTTTCCACCTCCTAAAGGTCTCCTGCATTTCTTGTTTTGTGGCCCTTCTTTCTTTAAAGCCAGTAGCGTAGCATCTTCAAATATCTTTCACTGATTCTTCTGCCTCTCTTATAAGCACTCTATGATTACACTTGACCCACCTGGATAATCCCTAGCTCGAGATCCTTAATCATATCTGCAAAGTCCCTTTTGCCAAGTAAGGTAACAAATGGACAGAGTCCGGGCTCCGGAATATGGACATCTTTGGAAGGCCATCGTGTCGCCCACCACACAGGATATTGTGGCTGTCTTGCTTTATCAGTATATATGAATCTGACATTCTTTTTAACTACTGGACAAAACCGATATAAAACTTATGTAACCCCTCATGTGATGAATCTTTAGGTTTCCCTTTTATGCTGAAATAAACTGCTGCAAACATTTTTGTACATGTGAATATATAAGAGTATCTGTGAGATTAATTTCTAAAACTGAAATTGCTCAGTCAAAGGTGGTGAAAGATAAATGTTGGCACGTTAAGATTTTAAAGAGTTTATGTGAGCAGACAGTGCTTCATGAGTCAGGCAGCTCTAAACCAGAAGTGGTTGAGGCTCCACTGAAGGAGCCTGAGGAGAAGGCCTTTATAGGGTGGATGTAGAAGTAGAGCAAACAAATTATTTGATTAAAGTTTGAGTAGTTGGCTTATTTGGGCCATGCCTGTGAGAAGTTCAAGAATATGTAACTAGTGCCTAGTTGGCTGCCTGTGATTGGCTGAGCTAAGCTTGGTGATCTTTTAAACTCAGTTTTGGTTGCTTAAGTAGAATCCTGAGCTTTAGAGCCATCTCAGTTTAAGGGCCTCCCATTGTGTTATTTTAATAAAGGGTAAATGCGGTGATAATACAGCCAGGTTGCCCTCCAAACTGTTGTACCAGTGTTCTGTACATTCCCACAGCCAAGCCTGTTTCTCTACTCTCTTGTCAAAATATTCAGTCTTTTTAATGTTTTTAATAGATGTGTAAAAATTATATTAATTCAAATTGCATTTCCATGATTTAAAATGAGATTAAGCATTGTCATACTGTTTTTATTAGAATTTTCTATATTAAACTTCTTAGACCCAAAAGAGAAATATATTTCATGATGCATCATGAGAATTGGTGTACAAAATGCTTATGTTTATTTAAAACCATGTTTATTCCATACAAAATTTATTTTAAATAAATATACATCAAAATTTAATGGTTTTCAAAAAGATCGTTTAGTGATAATTACCAGACCTCCTCATGATAAATACTATATATGGAACTTTGGTATTGATTACATAAAATATGATCAGTTATTTTCTTGCTTTTGTTTTTGGTGTTAAAGAATAATTCTGAATTGGTAATGTTTTTAACCCTGGAATTGCTAACACCATAACATCAGCTTTGAGTTTGTGTCTCTCTCTTACCTCGTCACATCTGCCTTCCCTCACACTTTTAGAAAATTGTCCAACAAAGCAAACTAGGGTAAAACCTGTATGATAAATGTATAGAGAAGATATAGAGAAATGTAACTGGGATTATTTATGCTGCACCTTCATTTATTTATTTTTGAGACTGAGTCTCACTCTTGCCCAGGCTGGAGTGCAGTGACGCAATCTCTGCTCCCTGCAACCTCTGCCTCCCGGGTTCAAGTGATTCTCCTGTCTCAGCCTCACAATATAGCTGGGATAACAGGCTCATGCTACCACACCTGGCTAATTTTTGTATTTTTAGTAGGGATGGGGTTTTAGCATGTTGGCCAGACTGGTCTTGAACTCCTGGCCTCAGGTGATCCACCCACCTCGGCCTCCCAAAGTGCTGGAAATTCAGGCATGAGCCACCATGCCCAGCCAATTTTTCAGTTAATTTTAAATGATTGAGCTCTGAAAGAAAAGTTTCACTTTTTAATCTAAACCTTTAAAGAGTTCTTCTAAATGGAAAACATCGATTGCTTCTGGAGATGGGAGCAGGGACCGGGTAGCTGGGGTGGTGATATCAAGGGTGAGAGGCAGTCTTTTTACTTTACAGTCCTTTTTTTTTTTTTTGGGAGGGGGGATTTTTAAACATTTTAAATATGGAATTGGATCACCTGTTAGAAATAATAACGAATCTTAAATTCAGTGGACCAAAAAAATTTTTAATAATCATTTTTAAAGCACTTTTACGGTTGGCTCTCCTGTGATTCAAGCGGCAGCTCGATTTCATTGAAATGTGGAAAGATGAGTCATATTTTTTCACATTAAAGAATGGTTCTAAAATTGATTCTTGGCTCAACTTGGGGGCTCCTCTTGGACCTTTACTGTTGGTTTTCCTCAGGGCCCTATGGCTTCAATTACCATCTGTTTGATGACAACCCCTAAATCTCAATCTGTAATGCAATCACCGGCCCCACCCTTTATGCACATTAAAGTGTGACACCATTAAATCAGAAAGTGGAGAAAGGCTTATAAACTTTTCCTCCTCTTACTGCTTTTTTGTTTTTCCTCTTCTATGCCATAGGTTTGCTGGTGGTATCAAATAACATTATACAGTGTGGCTTATCCTAACTTCTGTCATTCAGAGTTTAAAAACATTTTTACCTGTCAGAATAAAATGCTTCTTTGATCAATCACCTTTTGGCTAATATTCTTTACTATTTTAGGTTGAGTTCTCTTACCCGCCCCTGATTCCAGGAGATGGACATGACAGCCACACTTTACCTGAAGAATGGAAATATTTGCCCTTCCTTGCCTTACCAGATGGTGCACACAACTACCAGGAAGGTATGTAACAAGACAGTGAAGCAGTTAGGTGCCATGTTTGAAAAAAATCTGCCAAGATATCTTAGGTTCTAAATACTTTGAGAAATTAAAGCCCTTTAGCCTATTACAACTATTTATAAAATATTTACATGCTTGTTTAGAGATGACTAGTCATTCACTAGAGCACCTCTAAAGGAGTGCCAAGCTTACACTGTCCTTGGCTGGTGAACCTTGGTCAGCCTTCTACCAAGTGATTAGCCAGAGCAGGACAGCCACGACTGGGAGCAGTTCCTCCTCCATCTACACTTCAGACTCCTGGGGGCTTACCAGCACATTGCCTGGGACTCTAGCTGCATACTTGCAGTACTGGCTTAGCACTCCAGGGCCCACCTAGAAACATCGAGATTGTTTTTGTGTCTCTGGAACCATTGCTGTCACAAGTACTCTGTTTGCAAGGTTGCTTGCATGCAGAGCCTGTTAACACCGGCAGAGAAAGCAGGACTGTGAAGTTCTTACCGAATCTCCTGCCACCCTATAAATGAGTACTTTGCCTGACTTAGTGAAGGACTGTTTTACTATGGTATTTGATGCTCTACAAAAATCTTTTTGTTGTTGTTGCTTTGCTTTGCTTTTTTGGAGACAAAAGTCTCACTGGGTTGCCCAGGCTGGTCTCAAACTCCTGAGCTCAAGCAGTTCTCCCCCAGCTCCCCAGTAGCTGGGGTGTGCCACCATGCCCAGCAAAAGGACTGCTACAAACATGTGAATTAAGATTATAGTGAATGTTGGCCAGGTGTGGTGGCTCACTCTTGTAATCGCAGCACTTTGGGAGGCTGAGGCGGGCGGATCACGAGGTCAGGAGATCAAGATCAGTCTGGCCAACATAGTGAAACCCTTCTCTACTAAAATTACAAAAAATTAGTCAGGTATGATGGCGTACACCTGTAATCCCAGCTCCTTGGGAGGCTGAGGCAGGAGAATCACATGAACCCAGGAGGAGGAGGTTGCAGTGAGCCAAGATCACTATTGCACTCCAGCCCAGGTGACTGTGAGACTCCATCTCAAAAAAAAAAAAAAGATTATAGTGAATGTTCTACAGATTTTTCTTTATATTTGTGTATGTGAATAATTTTGTCCGTAGTATCTGAAAGGTAGTTGCAAACATCGTGACACTTTTTCTCTAAATACTTAAGATCTGAGAATGAGATGGTTCCCCAGTGTAACATCCAGTACCCTTATCACAGCTAAGAGATTTAACAGTAATTTCATAATACTATCTAATGTCCAGTCTATATTCAGATTTTCTCAGTTGTCCCTCAAATTTCTTGGATTCATTCAAGTTTCATGTGTTGCTGTTGGCTTTTTTTTTTTTTTATTATTTTTGAGACGGAGTTTGACTCTTGTTGCCCAGGCTAGAGTGCAATGGCACAATCTCGGCTCACCACAAGCTCCGCCTCCTGGGTTCAAGCAATTCTCCTGCCTCAGCCTCCCAAGTAGCTGGGGTTACAGGCATGTGCCACCATGCCTGGCTAATTTTGTATTTTTTGAAGAGATGGGGTTCTCCATATTGGTAAGACTAGTCTTGCACTCTCCACCTCAGGTGATCCACCCACCTCAGCCTTCCAAAGTGCTGGAATTACAGGCGTGAGCCACTGCACCCAGCCTGCTGTTGGCTTTTATAACTGTCTACTTTCTCTTAATCTAGAACAATTCCATAAAGATTAACTATTTTCTGTAATTGAAGTCTCAGTTTGACCTGTTACAATTCAGCCTCTTGGGCTTTTTATGAGAGAAATCCTAAGAAACCAGTGGTTGTGGTCCTAGAAATAAGTATGGCTTTCTTGTTTATAATTTTTGTGTTAATGACTGCATTATGATAACTTCATATTTTATTACTTAATAAGGGTAGTTCACCTTAGCATTTACATTTTTCTATGTATCTCTTAGATACTGTGTTTTTTCACTTGCCACCCAGAAATGGAAATGGAGCCACAGTATACGGTATCTCTTGCTATCGACAAATTGAAGCCAAGGTATGATAGTTAATGGTGAAAACAAGAAACTCTACAGTCCTTTCTTAGATGTTGGACACTTAGAGAAACACTGTCTTTATTTTTAGTCGGTGGTGCCTATGATATTGTTTTAGATGTTTGTATACAATTTGTAGCTGTTTTTTCAATAGTACCCATTTATTCACAGACACGTGGCCATGCTTATATTTGTATCATAATGTTTCGTACATTGTTTTAGATAGTGATCCCTAAATTACCCGTTTGTCTGTGAAATGCTGTGTTTATTTACCTTTCAAGACGTCTGTGAATTTTCTGATCCTAGTGTTTGGCATATAACTTAGAAAAATGGAGTGGTAGTGTTTGTATGTTTGTATGTTTTTTTGTTTTTAAAGACAGAGTCTTGCTATTTTGCCCAGGCTAGTTTTGAACTCCTATGCTCAAGAGATGCTCCTACCTCAGCCTGCTGAATAGCTGGGACTGCAGGTGTGCACCACTGTACCTGACTTGTTTTTTAAGCAGCATTTCAGAAGCAGTAGGGTGTGCTTGCACGGACTCCCAACTACTCATTAGTTGTTTTCATTATCTCTTAAGTTTTTTTTTTTTTTTGAGGAAGAGTCTCACTCTGTTGCCCAGGCTGGAGTGCAGTAGCAAGATCTCGGCTCACTGCAGTCTTTACCCCAAGCTCAAGCTGTCCTCCAAGCTCAGATTTCCAAGTAGATGGGAAACAGGCACATGCCACCATGCCCAGCTAGTTTTTGTATTTTTTACAGAGACCAGGTTTCTTCATGTTGCTCAGGCTGGTCTTGAACTCCCGAGCTCAAGTGATCTGCCCACCTCAGCCTCCCAGAGTGCTGGAATTACAGACGCGAGCCACCACACCCAGCCTTGATTATTTTTAAACTACTTGCTAGCTTAATGCCTGACTTACTATAATAGCTCTAATTAATAAATTCAGATAAGCCAAGATGGTGACTCCACCTTTCATGATTTGCTTATTTGTAGGACTGTTTTTTTGTGGTAGAGATAATCTGGATGAGTGAAAAGCTCTTTCCTCTCTAAAGGCCATTAATACTCTAAAGCAGTGAGTGGTTCTCAATCTCAGCTGCACATTGCAGTCATCTGGAGAGTGGTTCTCAATCGCAGCTGCACATTGCAGTCATCTGGAGAGTGGTTCTCAATCGCAGCTGCACATTGCAGTCATCTGGAGAGCTTTAAAAGCTAAGATGACTGGGTCTGCCCCAACCCAAAAGATTCTGATTTAATGATCTGGACATGGGAGGTGGGAATGTTTTAAAAGCTCCCCAGTTGATTCTTCTGCGTAGTCAAGATTGAGAACCACTGCTCTAAAACAATGATTTCTTAATCAGTATTACCTAGAGACTTTTTTTTAAATCTGTACCTAGCCTTTCCTCCTAGTGACTGAATCAGAATCTCTGGTATTTGAGCCTCGACAATTAAAAGTTTTAAAAGCTTCCTCGGGTGAATAATTAGTAAATCTTTTTCTACCTTGTTATAGAAATTTCAAACATGCAGATAAATTAAAAATATAGTACATTGAATACCTGTATATCCAACACCTAGACTCAACAACTGTTAATATTCTACCACATTTACTCTGTGTGTGTATTTTTCCCCTTACTTAACATGAACTACAGGTGTAAATTCCAGGATACCCAAAGTAGTTAACTACCATGAAATAACCCTCTAACACAGGGCTGGGAACCTGGGAAACCCGTGTTGTCATGAATAACTGAATGTAAAGCTAATGATAGTATATCAAATAATAACATACACCGTAAGTATATTCCATTTTAGTCAGTTACACCTGAATGAAGCTGAGAACATAGAGATAAAAGAAACCTGAGAATAAGAGTTAGCCTGGCAGCTTTGAGCAGTTGATGTTTTCGTGTACTGTTGTAACCGAACCGAGGTTTGGCTGCACGCCCCTTGAAAGACGAGAGAATAGAGTTGCTGGGAGAAAAAGAAGATTTATTTGGAAAGCCAGCTAGATGGTGACCTAGCATTCTAAAGTAGCATCTGAAATTTTGCAGGCTGGCTGGAGGATTTTTATGGGAGAGGGCTATGGAGAAGGGAGGGTTTTGGTATCAAGAGGTGAAACACAGACATCTGGGTACCAGTGAGGGCCAGAGGAGGTTGGGTGTTTCTTTGTCATTGGTCAGGCCACAATGCTTCTATAAATCTTCAACAAAACATAGTTGTTTGCACCCTTTTTAAATCCCAGAGTTTAAAAACCTACACAATTGCCATTTTGGCATATTTGTGCTCTAAAGTTATCCTTGCCTATTTGCAGGAATAGGGAAAGACTCCCTAAAAAATGGAGTTATGTTCTTTTGCTATTTCACTGTTATACTATTACCTTTACATACTTAAATATGAGATGAATTGAGCTGCTGTCACTTCTTAGAAATCTGTTCCTTTTAATATTTTTTATTACCCATAGGTCATGTAAGCACTAGTAAAATCATTTCTCCCATGTGTGTCATATCCCTCAGTGCTGTTTTAACAGCCCTTATGCTCTGCATAGCCTTTAAATACTGCCTGTCTCTCCACTCCCTGGTTCTGACCCACTCCAGAGTACATTAGAGTTGCCCATTTTTCCAATGATTGCTGTCCTTCTCAATAGATAATAGGCAATAGAACCAGACTGATAAGCCAGTTATTGGAGGGACCTCGAGCCTAGGAGAAAGACTTTAACTTCCTCTGAATGGTGGTGAGACAGTGGATGAATCCAATCAGGAGGAAGGATTCTTCTCCACAGCTAATTTAAAGTCTGTTCATCAGTGATCATTTGAAAACACAGGGGCCCCTTGGTCTTCAGGACAGACCCAGGAAGGTATCAGGCAGTATGCTAGAGGAGAAGTCTTTCTTCCTTCACAGCCTTGCCTGAGGTTGATCAAATCAAGACTCACTCTCTATTAGCAGAGGACTGTAGAAATCTCACATAGTCATCCTCACAATTAATGAGCTATGTGCTTGTGTTTGGCACTGGGTGCCAATACAGGTTTCCAGGCAACATGGAACAACTAACTTAACAAAACTTCTGACAGTTCTTTCATCCCTGGAGAACAAGCTGTCTGTTGTTGTCTTCTTTTTTTTTTTTTTTTTGAGACTGGCGTAATCTCAGCTCATTGCAACCTCTACCTCCTGGGTTCAAGCAGTTCTCCTGCCTCAGCCTCCCAAGTAGCTGGGATTAGAGGCTTGTGCTACCACACCTGGCTGATTTCTGTATTTTTAGTAGAGATGGAGTTTCACCATGTTGGCCAGGCTGGTCTTGAACTTTTGGCCTCAGGTGATCTGCCTGCCCAGAGTACTGAGATTACAGGCGTGAGCCACTGCTTCTGGCTTTTTGTCATCTCTTAAACTAGCGCCTTCTCACCAGAAACAGTGGTCTCTGAAAGGATTGCCCATTTTTAACCAGAATCAACAGTGATTGATTTGCACTGAATGGTTGATTTGGACCTGGTGACTTATACATAAAGTATTCTGCATCAGGTTATAAATTCCTTGAGACTCAGGATTGTCCCTTCGCTGTTACATTCCCACTGCCTACCACAGATTCTGTCACATAGGCCCAAGCTGACATTTATTCGTCCAATATTTCCTGAGAGTCTTAATAAATTTTTTAATTTAACTAAATGCAAGAAATTTCTTCTATGTAATTGCCATTTTTATTACAAATATTTTTTAAATATTGCTATGAAATATTTCTGATGAATTGCTCTTTGTTTATAACAGGCATTGAAAGTAAGGCAAGCAGATATCACCAGAGAGACTGTTCAGAAAAGTGTCTGTGTTCTAAGCAAGCTGGTAAGAGAACAAGTAACTCATTCATTGTGTTAAACCTTCATGGCAGGTCTTTCTTTAAGGATAAGGCGCTATTAGAATAAGAAGAAATTTAAATGATATGTTAAAATATTTATGTCCTAGCATCTCCTCATTCTCTTTCCCTTTCAGCAGTTTTCATTTGCGCCTCTACCCAAGACTCGGTAAGAGAAGGGAGATCTTGTAGCTATTGGAAAGTAAGTTGATATGTAAACAAAATGAGGTAGCTGATATATTTCATTTCTCCATTTTGGTTTTACCAGAATCTTTTTTTTTTTTTTTCTTTGAGAGAGAGTCTCACTCTGTTGCCCAGGCTGGAGTACAGTGGCATGACCTTGGCTTACTGCAACCTCTGCTCTCCAGGCCCAAGGGATCCTCCCACCTCAGCCTCCTGAGTAGCTGGGACCACAGGCATGTGCTACCATACCTGGCTCACTTTTTTCTATTTTCGGTAGAGACGAGGTTTTACTACATTGCCTAGGCTGGTCTCAAACTCCTGAGCTCAAGCAATCCATCTGCCTCAGCCTTCCAAAGTTCTGGGATTGTAGCATGAGCCACCATGCTCAGCCAAAATCTTATTTCATACAAAATAAAATTTTGAGGATGAGAATATTTCTTCTGAGACAGTAATTTTAAATATAAGCCAAGAGTAGTCTCCTAGGAAAGGAATGGCTATAATAAAGGACCCTAATGTCAGAAAATTGTTAGATTATTCATCTGATCCCTGTACACAGCTTTGAGAAGAGTAGCCTGAAAAATATACATTAGTGAATTGCTTTTTTAGACTGGACCAGATGACCGCAGCATAAGAGTACCAGATATTGAACTACAGCATGTTAAGAGGCTCCTGAGTAATCATTCTTCAAAGGACAGTTGCAATAATAGTGCATTTATTGAGTGCCTATGTATCAAGCATTAATTCTGTGTAATTGTCATTTTCATCCTCATAACAACGTCGAGACATATTTACTACTGTTCTCATTTTATAAATAAAGACATAGCTCAGAGAAAAAATGTGTAATTCTACAGACATGTAACTACCAAATGATAAAATTGGGGTAAAAAAAATCAGTTTTATCTGTTGCTAAAACAGACACAAGGGTTAGGAAGAGGGTAGCTTACTCGAAAGGTCGGGTTGTGGTTCTTCTGGTCTAGACTTCAACAAGTCTATGTATAAAAATAAAATAATTTTATACTTTGATGGAAATAGTAATATATTAACAGGGATACTGGGAGATATCTTCCAATATTACTTGTTTTTAATTAATTAGAGTATATATACATCATTGGTCATCGCATCCTGAAATGGACATAGACATGAGAAAACATCTAGAAAAGAACGCTATAATAAAAAGATGAAAATGGTAGAAGATCCTAAATAGAGAAATAAGGATTAAGGGATAACTTTGCTCAAGTATATAAAACAATTTTATGATAAAGGACACAAGCTAGTTGTTGTAAGCCTCCACAGAGGACAAAAAAGGGAAACGAACTTAAATGTAATCGTGAATGTTCAAAGAGATATAAAAACAGGCTGCTGTAAGGATGATTAAATGTTGCTACAGGCAAAACAGTGCAGAATTAGAATATGTGTTACATCATGCAGTAGTAACCGCTAATGCGTGGGTGCTTTCTTTGTGTCAGATACTTTTTACCAAGTGCTTTTACCTGATGTTTAATTCTTAAAACAGTCCAATATGATGTACTCTTTTCATATGCCCATGTTCCGACCAGCAAGCAGAGGTGGAGAAGTTCCCAGAGCTGAGTGATGGAGCCAGGCCCAGCAAGTCTGAGCCCACACTCAAGCACTGGTGTTTCCGGTACTTTTCACTGTAGCTGAAGAACAGATATCTTCATGGCTTTCAGCTATGAATGAATACAGCACTAAAGTTGATAGTTACTAACTTTTTTTCTCCCTGTTCTATTCAAATGAGAAAGTTGTGGGTTCTGTTTGTTTTACTATTATCACCTAATGGTAATTTCTTTTTCCCTTTAAGCCTCTATATGGCTTACTTCAAGCAAAACTTCAGCTCATTACACATGCATATTTTGAAGAGAAGGATTTTTCCCAAATTTCCATTCTAAAGGTAACTTTTGACCCCTCTGTATATGTGTTTGGCTCAGGATAGCCTCATGAATCCAGTAAATCTTGTCAGTAATACTGTGAAGGGTAATTATTTATTAGCTTAAGAAAGACATTCTACTGTGAATACACATTTACATTAAAACGCTGAAGGACCAGGATCTGCCCAAATACTAAATTTAACCAAACTTGCTTTTCTTTTCTTTTTTTTTTAAGGAAATAATGACTACAAATAACTTTAACAGTAATGCTTCTCTTAGTGGATAGTGGCCCTTTTGCCATGGCATTAATTCCATAAATTTGCTTATCTTGTTAATAGACTGCACAGTATTTTTATATATCAGGCTTCCCATTCCTAGCTCCCAATACATAGACCAGAAAAACCACATGATTATTTTATTGAAAATGGACTTAGCAAGGAAGCAGAGGGAATTTATACTAGGAATTCATACCACTCTGTGAATGAATTGTGCCCTAACATATAAAAGGAGAAAGGAATACCCCGAGTAGCTTTTTATTCTCAGTACCGGCATCTCTTCTGATTTGCTCACACCCAGAAGAGAAGAAATGAGAACTGGCAAGGCTGCAGAGAGGCTTGATTGTCTTTAAATTTAGTGCCTAGCAGAACAAACTCCTTCGGTTAAGGAACCAACTTTTTTATGATCAACGTATTTCTAATTCAGATCCAAAATGATAGTAAAATCTGCTAAATTCAACCTGTATTTTATAGGAGCTTTATGAGCATATGAATAGTTCCTTGGGAGGAACTTCATTAGAAGGAACCCAAGTATATCTTGGTAAGTAGTTGACTTACAAGTTAAAAGAGATTCCCCATTTCTTTTTGTTTAGCAAACTGAGTGGCGTATAAAACTTGGATTACAATTACATCTCTCTATGGGATCTAAATTCAACATTTGATGCTGTTTCTTCCTTAAATATCTTCTTTGCCAGTGTTTATACTGAGAAGGGTATTAGAACAAAGCAGATTTACAACTTTCAACGTACAAGGCAAGTTTCTGCCTTTTTTTTTTTTCCGAGACAAGGTCTCACTCTCCCTGCTGGAGTGCAGTGGTATGATCATGGCTCACTGCAGTCTTGACCTCCTGGGCTCAAGCAGTTCTCCTGGCACAGCCTCCTGAGTAGCTGGGACCGCATGCCAGGACTCCCAGCTAGTTGTTTTTATTTTTAGTAGGGACAAGATGTCCCTATGGTGCCCAGGCTAGAATTTCTACCTTTTAGGGTAGTAATGGAAGTTTTGTATTGATTTTTCTTTTCCTTGCATTACAGTTGACTAGCTTAACTCCCTGTCATAACAGATGAAGCAAGAGAGAGCTCCTCAGCTCTTTTCTATTCTAAGATTCTTCAGATTGCAGATTTTATTTAATTTATACTAGCTTGACAACTCAGAATATCCATTGGTAACCAAGATATTCAATGGGAAACTCCATAAATATCCATTTTGTGATTAAAACTTTTTAATCATAGTGGTTTATTTTCACTCTATTCTAATTTCAGCATGCAGTTGCCAATTGTGATAGTTTATGATTGCAGTCGTGTGTATAATGTAAACTATTACTCTGCGTTACATGAGGTCCCATTCTGAGAACATGTTTCTTTAAATTATTTTCTCTTATACTGTGTTGTTTCAGATAGATGATAGAATAGACAGTGTTTCAGAAATAATGACATATGAAGTGCTGTGACCAAAACCATTTTAATCATTGATTGCCATGATAATATAAGCTATATCATTTCTAAACGTGTAGTTTATGTTTGTAGAAGAGGGAAATGTGTTAGACCTGCATAGTCCAAAACAGTAGCCACTAGCCACCTATAGCTGTCTATATTTAGATTAAAATTAATAACATTTAAGTCAATTTGTCTCAGTCACACATGCTGCATTTCAGTTGCTCAGTAGCCACATGTGGCTACTGTATTGGACAAGACAGGTTTAAAATATTTTCATCCTTGCAGAAAGTTGTACTGAACAGCACTCTTTCTGAGTATATGTGTACCTAATCAAATAGTACATAAATATTTGAGTATTTGCATATTTCTACTTTTTTTTAAACCTTTCTTTAAGAGGAAAATAACTTTTCTTCAGCAAAAACATTACATTGTAGTCACAGTTTAGCTTTTTTGTTAACATTGTAGGTCTGTCACCTCGAGATCTTGTCCTTCATTTTCGGCACAAGGTATGGTACGTTACTTAAATAAATTTATGATGTGCAGTACTAAAATACCCAGCACTGTTCTTAGTGTGCTCATTTAACTGCCAAATTCAGTGTGCTAAATTGAATGCAGATCGTGGCATACCATGCCTTAGTTCTAAGATGTACTTGGTCTCATAACTATGCAAAGTTAGAAGTGTTGGTAGTGCTTTGCATCATAGAAATTTTAAAAGAGTACAAATACTGTTTACTTCCTTGTAGGATAGGGTAATTTTTCTTTTGTTTTTGCAATTTCATCTACCATGAGGTTAGAGTGGAAAGAAATATGTTTTGATCTTGCAGAATATTTTATATGTTGCCCTGAGAATGGAGCATATTTCAGTAAAACATCTGTACATACCTATACCTTCTGATCTTTATTATTAAAGCAGATGTTGACTAGGATATAAACATGTTGTTTATTTAACAAACATTTACTGAGCACCTGCTATGTGGACACTCTGGATATCCATAAATATTTATTTAAAGGTCAGGATGCCCTGACCTTTAAATACTTATAAATACTTCAAGCAAAAATGGTACCACCCCTTCAAGAAAAAATAATTTCAGTTAGCAATTTAAGTGATTCTCACATTTTTAAGAGTACACAGGTAATATTTAATTTCTCAGTATAAGTTTATAATTTTTCATGTACTTTTTAAAATGCTATAATTATTTAGTATTATTGATGATGGCTATGTTTTAGGGAAAAAGATGAATTATAGGCTTGAGTTGCTCATTTCAATAAAACGTTTTTTTCCTTTTTCAGGTCTTAATCCTATTTAAACTAATTCTTCTTGAAAAAAAGGTAAGATCTTAAGAGATGAAAGGAAAGATGGAATATTTAACTTTTATTGGCTTTTTTTACATTATTTCATAAAATTGATAAAGTATTAAGATACTTTTTGCCTATCATGTGGTGAGCTGAAGCACATTTTCTTGTCTCTGCCATAGAAGTGTAAATTCATATGGCCTTTCTGGAGGCAACAGAAAACTCAATTTTAAACTGACATAAATGAAAAAGGACATGTATTGGCTTACTTGAGATTTCAGGGTTGTTTGACTCAGTGGCTCCATAGTGTAATTAAGTGCCTAAGTTTTTTCCGTCTCTTTGCTCTACAGTGCGCAGTGCTGGCTTTTTCCAGAGCCTAGTTTCCCTGGTAGTACAGGGAATGCCAGCAGTAATTGGGTTGTTTGCTCCCTCAGTCATAACTGTCGGCAGGAATAATACCTCCTCCTAAACAATTTAATAAGAATTCTTGGCTGAGCATGGTGGCTCACACCTGTAATCCCAGCACTTTGGGAGGCTGAGGCGGGCAGATCACTTGAGGTTAGAAGTTTAAGAACAGCCTGGCCAACATGGCGAAACCCTATCTCTACTGGAAATACAAAAATTAACTGGGTGTGGTGGCAAACAACTGTAGTCCCAGCTACTCAGGAGGCTGAGGCGGGAGAATTGCTTGAACCCGGGAGGAGGAGGTTGCAGTGAGCCAAGATCGCAACACTGCACTCCAGCCTGGGACAGAGCAAGACTCCATCTCAAAATAAATTAATAAAAATGTATTCCTTCACACGGAAAAAAAAAGTAAAGTTTTTTTTAAAAAATGAATCCACCATACTAGTGTGGTGTTTCTAAAAATTTGATAAACTACACATACCAGACAATTTATTATAACCATTTTAAGGTGTATAATTGAGTAGTGTTAAGTACATTCATATTATGCAGCCATCATCCCATCCAGCTACAGAACACTTTGAATTTCTTTTCATTTTTTGAGACAGGGTATTGCCCTGTTGCCCAGGCTAGAGTGCAGAGGTGTGTTCATGGCTCACTGCAACTCTAACTCCCAGGCTCAAGCAATTCTCTTACCTCAGCCTCCTGAGTAGCTGGGACCACAGTGCTGGGATTACAGGCATGAGCCAAGACGCTCAGTCTATATTCCTTTATATATGCTCATTTTTTTTCCCCGAGTCAAAATACCTTGGAAGTAATTTGTAGACATTATGGTATTTCACCCCTAAATACTTCAGGATATATTTCTTAAGAACAAGAATATATTCCTACATAACCAAAATACCATTTTCGCATTCAAGAAATTTAACATTAAGATGAGTGAAATCTGACATACAGTCTGTTTTCAAATTTCCCTAGATGTCATGATGTCCTTTGTAGCTAATTATTGTTTTCTTAAAAAAAAAAAATTTAATTTTTTATTTTAAAGGATAGAAATAGGGTCTCGCTATGTTGCCCAGGATGGTCTTGCACTCCTGGCCTCAAGCAGCCCTCCTGCCTTGGCCTCCCAAAGTGCTGCGATTCCAGGCATGAGCCACACCTGGCCTGATTTTTGTTTTCAGTTTGGGATCCAGTCAAGGATCATGTACACTAGCTTTCTTTTATTTCAAACAGTTCTGTCACCTCTCTTTTTGTTTGTTCTTTTTTTTCTACATTTTATGAGACTGTCATTTTTAAAATAATCCAGACTGGTGTTCTGGGTGAGATTTGTTTGTTTTCTTGTGGCTAGTTTCAGATTAAACTTTTTAGCAAGAATCCTACACAGGTAGTGGCGTGTCTCTGTCAAGACATGATAGTAGGAGTCCCGTAACTGCTTGTAGTAGCAGTATTGCTGATGTGAAGTTTGCTCATTTGATTGAGGTGGTGGTTGCCACTTTAATAGGTCATCTATAGAATGATAAATTTCAGACATTGTGAATATTTTGTTGCCCAGCAACCTTTCATAGCAGTTTTAGCTTTTGTTGGGAATGTGTTCCTAAATCATGATGGATGCTAAATGGTGATTTTTCTATCATTACTTCTATGTTTATTAGCTGTTATTCTTATATAAAGAATTTTCCCCTTTTAAAAAATTGATCATTATGGATTGCTTCATGGATTTCCTAATTTGATTTTTATTTACTCCATTTCAGGTTCTTTTTTATATTTCTCCAGTGAGTAAATTGGTGGGTGCATTGATGACTGTGTTATCCCTTTTTCCAGGTAAGAAAACAGCAGTATCTACTCTTTCTTTTGTTTAACTTAACACTGAAACTTAAACTTTTAGTAATAAAATCTTCAAAGATAAACTCTTAAGGTTATCATTTCTAATTTAATATGACATTTTCCTCTTAGAAATAGGTTTCTCTCTTTTGTCTGGGTTTCTTTCTGTTCTTTTTGTTTTTAATTGAAATGTGTAAGGTTATTCAGTTTTATAGGAGAGTCTACTAATAAAATATATAGCTCTTATTTTCTTCTCTATTATAAGCCAAGCTGTTCTCCAATATTGAATGTTTTAGGCATGATTGAACATGGTCTCAGTGACTGTTCTCAATATAGACCCCGGAAGAGTATGTCGGAAGATGGTGGGCTTCAGGAAAATAGCCCATGTGCAGACGATTTTGTTTCCGCATCCACTTCTGACATTTCACATACCAACCTGGGAGCTGTCAGGAAAGCAATGGCAGGAAACCATGGAGGAGATGCTGTCATGAAGACTGAAGAGCCTTTGCTCCGAGGAGAAGACAGCAGCAAAGGGCAGGAACCCAATGATACCAATCAGTATTTGAAACCTCCATCTCGCCCATCTCCAGAGTCTTCAGAAAGTGACTGGGAAACCTTGGATCCTAGTGTTTTAGAGGACCCCACCTTGAAAGAAAGGGAACAGCTGGGATCAGACCAGACAAACTTATTTCCAAAGGACTCTGTCCCCTCAGAGAGTCTTCCAATTACTGTACAACCTCAAGCTAATACGGGGCAGGTGGTCCTGACACCAGGGCTCATTTCCGGTTTGGAAGAGGACCAGTATGGCATGCCCCTGGCCATCTTCACAAAGGTAAAGTGTAATGTTTATTATTGAATTCCTTAAAGAATTGAAAAATCCTTTAGAGTACAACTTTTACACTTTTGGTATTCAACACATTTTCAGATGGAAAATTTTCCTTGAAACTGTAAAATACATACCAACTATATGGTAGGTACCGTGGCATCTGTGGCCATTGTATAAGTCTGTAGGGAGGTACAGGGGATTTTGATTGGTAAATGTTTTGAGACTTAGTAGATATGAGTCACATGCACAGTCACTGTCTTGGGTCTATTTTAATCATTAAGGTTTCTCCTTAAAGAATTAAGGAAGTTCAGAAAGCCTTGATTGCACTCAGTAAATACAGGCATACCTCGGAGAGACTATGGTTTAGTTCCGGAACACTGCGATAAAGTGAGTCTCAGGAATTGTTTGTTTCCAAGTGCATATAAAAGTTATGTTTACACTACACTATAGTCTACTAAGTGTGCTGTAGCAATAGGTCTTTGTTTTTAATGTACATATTTTAATTTAAAAATACTTTAGGCTGGGCACAGGGGCTCATGCCTGTGAGGCTGAGGCAGAAGGATCACTGAGGCCAGGAGTTTGATTAGCCAGATGTGGTACCTGATGCCTGTGGTCCCAGCTACTTGGGAAGCTGAGGTTAGGAGGATCAGTGGAGCCCGGGAGGTTGAGGATACAGTGAGCTATGATCATGCCACTGCACTCCAGACTGGGTGTCAGAGGGAGACTCAATAAATGTTTATTATTTAAAATTTAATAATTATTTTAAAAGCAACAAAGTGAATAAAATTTAAATAATTATGTAAAAAGTACACGAAGTGAAGTACAATCATTAAATAATTTTTGTTATTTAAACATAAATGAATAAAACTCCTTTGTTGTCATTTTAACGACATTCACACCTTCACCAGGAGTAGACTCCATCACAAGAAACCACTCTCCTTCTTCATTCATAAGAAGCACCTCCTCATCCATTCGTGTTTTATCATGAGATTGCAGCAGTTCAGTTACATTTTGAGATTCCACTTCTAATTCTAATTCTCTTGATATTTCCACCAAATCTCCCCCAACGACTTGAACCCCTCAAAGTTATTCATGAGAGTGGTATCAACTTCTTTCAAACTCCTGTTAATGTTGATATTTTGACCTGCTCCTCTGAATCACAAATGTTCTTAATGGCATCTAGAATAATGTTTTCCAGAAGATTTTCAGTTTACTTTGCCCAGATCCATCAAAGCAATCAGTATCCATGGCAGCTATAGCCTTATGAAATGTGTTTCTTAAATAATAAGACTTGAAAGTCAAAATGACTCCTTGATCCATGGGCTCCAACGTGGATGTTTCTCCTTGTATATCTTCATTAGAGCTCTTAGATGACCACATGCGTTGTCATGAGCAGTAATATTTTGAAAGGAATCTTATTTTCTTCTGAGTAGTAGGCCTTAAATAGTCAGTAAACCATGCTATAAAGAGATATGCTGATATCCAGGCTTCTTTGTTCCATTCTGGAGTACAGGCAGGAGATTTAGCATAACTCTACAGGGCCCTAGGATTTGGGGAATGGTAAATGATCATTGGCATCAGCTTGTTCTTGAAGCTCTACCTACAAAAGTCCTAGATGGCATCTTCTTCCGACAGAAAGCTGTTTCGTCTTTATTGAAAATGTTTTGTATTCAAAATCCGTAACCCGCTTCATCAAGGACCTTCTGAATAACTTGCTACATCTTCTCTGTCAGCACTTGCTGCTTCACCTTGCACTTCTGTTACAGAGGCAGCTTCTTAGACATTGTGGGCTAACTCTGCTGGTTTCATACTTCTGCATCTTCTCACCTCTGTCATCTTCCATGGAATTGAAGACAGTTAAGGCCTTTCTTCAGATTAGGCTTTGGCGTAAGGGAATATTCTGTCTGGTTTTTGATCTCCTATCCAGATCACTCGGACTTTCTGCTTATCAGCAATCTTACCATTTGTGAATTCACTGGTAAAAAAAAAAGTACATTTAGTAGCACTTCTAATTTCCTTCCGAAACTTTTCCTTTGCATCAACATCTTGGCTGTTCAGTGCAAGAGGCGTAGATTTCTGTCTGTCTCAGCTTTTGACATGCCTTTTAACTTAGTCATTTCTAGCTTTTGATTTTGAATAAGATGTGAGATTCTTCCTTTTACTTAGACCCTTAGACGCCATTGTAGGGTTGTTAATTGGCATAATGTAAATATTGCTGCATCTCAGGGAATAGGGAGGTCTGAGGAGAGGAGAAGAGACAGGAATGACCAGTCAGTGGAGAAGTCAGAACACACACAATATTGATTAAATTTCTTGTCTGTGTGGGCGTGGTTCATGTCACCCCAAAACAATTACAGTAATATCAAAGATCACTGATCACAGATCAACATAACAAATACAATAATAAGGAAAACGTGTGAGATATTGTAAGAATTCCTGAAATGTGACAGAAACAGGGAAATGAGCACAGGCTGTTGGAAAAATGGCAGTGATAGACTTGCTAGTTGCAGGGTTGCCATAAATGTCCAATTTATAAAAAGCACAATAAAGAGAAGGACAATAAAAAGAGGTGCCTATGTATATTTTGTCATAAAAAGAAAAGCTTAGATGTCTAACTTCTATCCCTTGTTAATGATGTAAGTTACATAAGTAATAAGTTATGTAAGTGATGTTATAACTAAAATAAGTATACATATGTATTTACTAAGTACAGTTAATATACTTAACTGTACTTAATATATTAGTAAACTTCATTTGGATATAATAGTGTTTTGGCTAAGTGTGTTCTAACACTTATCTTTTTATAAAAACCATTCAGAATGGATTTGAAATTTTTAAATAAACGCAATATAGTAAATCAAATTGAGTCTTTAAATCACATCTTCTCAGCACATCATTTCTTAGTGTCAAGAATGCATTAAGATGAAGCAGTCAACTTCACTGGATCAAAAGTTACACTGGGCTGGACAAGCATTTCACACCTGTAATCTCAGCACTCTGCAAGGCCGAGGCAGGGAGGATTGCTTGAAACCAGGATCTAGAAAGCAGAATGTTCAACAAAGCAAGACCTCATGACTACAAAAAAGTAAAATAAATTTTCTGGAGATGATGGCATATGCCTGTAGTCACGGCTACTTGGGAGGCTGAGGCAAGAGGATCTGTTGAGCCCAGGACTTTGAGGCTGCTGTGAGCCATGACTGTGCCGCCGCACTCCAGCCTGAACTTTGGACTTCAGAGTAAGGCCCTGTGTATATATAAAAATAAAGTACACAGATGTTGAGACATATTCCGGAAGCTACACTGTTTGGGTGTTTTGTTTTTCATCCTTTTTAGAAATAGTTTTATTACTATTTGTGAATTGTTTTTCAAAGAAGAGCAGGAAAAAAATATATATTTCATTTATTATTCTGTAAGTACAGTTATCCCTCATTATTCATGGGAGACTAGTTCCAGAAACTTCCCCCATACCAAAATTTGAGAATGTTCAAGTCACTTTTATAGTAGCATAGTATTTGCATATAACCTGTCCACATCCTCTGACATGCTTATTGTTTGTTTGTTTGTTTGTTTTTTGAGATGAAGTCTCGCTCTGTCACCCAGGCTGGAGTGCAGTGGCAGAACCTTGGCTCACTGCAGCTTCCACCTCCCAGGTTCAAGCAATTCTCCTGCTTCAGCCTCCTGAGTAGCTGGGAATACAGGTGCCCACCACTACACCCAGCTAATTTTTGGATTTTCAATAGAGACAGGGTTTTACTCTGTTGACCAGGCTGGTCTGGAACTCCTGATCTCAGGTGATCCACCCGCCTCAGCCTCCCACAGTGCTGGGATTACAGTGAGCCACTGTGCCTGGCTTCTTCTGAATACTTTAAATCACCTCTAGATTATTTATAAAACCTAATACAATGTAAATGCTATGTGAATAGTTGTTATGCTGGGTTTTTTAAATTTTGTATTATTATTTTTCTCAATATTTTTAATCCAAGGTTGGTTGAATCTGGTATGTGGAACCCACAGATGTGGAGCACCAGCTGTATTTACTGACCTTCCATGTGCCAGGCACCTTACTGGATTCTGAATTCTTGCCGTCTGTGGTCTTGCATGTACCACGAAAGGCAGATGCATCGTGAGCCTTTCCAGTTACTAGAACAAAGTATTCTCTTTTCCCTGAACACTGTCTGGTATCCACGAAGGAAAACTTTCTGTGGAATAGAAAGATGGGTAGTGTTGGCTTAAACCATGAGGAATAAATATTCCTCTCCTGTGTTCTTCAACAAATTCTTTCTGAGTTTACCCAGCTTCGCAAAAATGTACTTGCCCATAGTCATTATTGGTGAATAGTTAGTATAGAATGCCATCTTTGTTCATTTTGTGACCTGCTTGGGATTCTGAAATTATCTTAACTGATTTCCTGATTAATCCAATGCCGTTTCCTAAAACTGGAATTTAAGAATTTGGGGAGAAAAGTCGCATTTCTCAAGACTACTGGTAAAGCAAGTGGCCACAAATTATTGGCTTTCTGAACTGTGTTATGACCTCCTGTACCTTCTGGAGCCCTGACTTTGCTGTTTCACCCACTCGACCTCTGATTTTTCCTACTGTGATGATATCAAGAGGGATATTATTGGAGAGGGATTTTGGCTTTGTCAGGTTGCTGACAAATGAAGCAGTGTAACGATGGCAAAACCCATCTCTACTAAAAATGCAAAAATTAGCTGGGTGTGGGGGTGTGCGCCTGTAATCCCAGTGGGGAGGCTGAGGCAGGAGAATGGCTTGAACCCAGGAGGTGGAGGTTGCAGTGAGCTGAGATCATGCCACTGCACTCCAGCCTGGGTGACAGAGCAAGACCCTCTCAAAAAAAAAAAAAGAGAGAGACAATTCTGAGGACTTTCCTTCCATTTTTCCTGATATTAAGTCTTCCCATCTTGCTACTGAAAGTGTTTGGGAATTGGCTGCACAGTGGAGCAAAGTAGTTAGTGGAGGACTGGCCAGAAAGGACTGGAGCCCTTGGAGCTTGGAGTCCCACCTGCTTTATCTCATGCATCAGCTTTCTCTCTTTTTTCCAGTTATGAGATTATTGCCATTATTTAGGAAAATTAATTGAGTCATCACTATAATGGAACTCGAATTAGAAATTACCTCAGTGTAATTATTGTCAATTTAAAAACTTTAACACAACCAACACAGAAGAATCACTTGAGCTCAGTAGTTTGAGACCAGCCTGAGCAACACAGTGAGACCTTGACTCTACTAAAGCTAAAAATTAAAAAATTAGCTGGGGCCGGCTGTGGTGGCTCACACTTGTAGTCCTAGCACTTTGGAGGGCCAAGGCAGGCAGTTCACAAGGTCCAGAGATCGAGACCATCCTGGCCAACATGGCGAAACCCCATCTTTACTAAAAGCACAAAAATTAACTGGGCATGGTGGGATGTGGCTGTAGTCCCAGCTACTTGGAAGGCTGAGGTGGGAGGATCAGTTGAGCTCAAGAGGTCGAGACTGCAGTGAGCCATGTTCACGCCACTGCACTCCAGCCTGCTCAAAGGAACAAGACCTCATCTCAACAAATAATTATTTTAAAAAATAAAATTAATAATCTTTCTTTTTGAGGCAGAGCTCACTCTTGCCAAGACTGGAATGCAGTGGTACAATCTCGGCTCTGTACAACCTCTACCTCCCGTGCTCAAACGATCCTCCCACCTCAGCCTCCCAAGTAGCTGGAACTACAGGCACGTGCCACCACACTCAGCTAATTTTTGGTAGAGATGGGGTTTTGTCATATTGTCCAGGCTGGTCTTGAACTCCTGAGCTCAAGCAGGCAGCCTGCCTCAGCCTCCCAAGTAGCTGGGACTATGTAGGTGTGAGCCACCACACCCTGCCAAAATAATAATAGTAATGTTTAACGCTAGTCAAATGAAGCACTGGGAGTGAAGAATAAAAATAAAATTGCTTTTACATTTAATTTTTTTAAGTGAATCTGTAACCAAAGAAATGTGACTTTCAGTGTTTGAGAGATGAAGATGATTTCAAGTTCTGTTCTGCTGAGTTTTTAAATTTTTAAAAGAGCCATAGTCACTTTTTTATTTGGTTTTTATTATATCTGGTACTTTAAAAAAGAAAATACACAGTTGCCTCCACCAAAAGATGACTTAATTTAAAATGCCCTTAAATTTTATTTTATTGTAACTTATTTATTTTCGAGACAGAGTTCTGCTTTTCATCCAGGCTGGAATGCAATGTCATGATCTCAGCTCACTGCAGCCTTGACCTCCCAGGCTCAAATGATCCTCTCGCCTCAGCCTCCCAAGCAGCTGGGACTACAGATGTGTACCACAACACCCAACTAATTTTTGCATTTTTTTGTAGAAACGGGGTTTCATCATGTTGTCCAGGCTATTCTCGAACTCCTGGGCTCAAGTGATTCACCCACCTCGACCTCCTGAATCTGGCCCAATCCCTAACTTTTTAAAGTCACAGATTTATGAAACAGTTAAAAGTATATGTAGTTGGAAACTATTATTTTTGCTGCCACTCGAATTAAACTCATTTAAATATTGCTTCTGGTTGTGCACAGTGGCTCAAGCCTGTAATCCCAGCACTTTGGGAGGCCAAGGTAGGTGGATCACCTGAGGTCAGGAGTTCAACACCAGCCTGGCCAATAGGGTGAAACCCCTTTTCTACTAAAAATGTAAAAATTAGCCAGGTGGGGTGGCAGGTGCCTGTAGTCCCCACTACTTGGGAGGCTGAGGCAGGAAAATCTCTTGAACCTGGGAGGTGGAGGTTGCAGTGAGCTGAGATTGTGCCAACTGCACCTCAGCCTGGGTGACAGAGTAAGATCCTTTCTCAAAAAAAAATGAATGAATGAATGAATGAATGAATGAATGCTTCTAAGTTTATAGTTGGCTCACTTGCTTGCAGATTGTCATTTTCAAGTTTAGCGAACCTGCAGATAACCTAATTTGCAGGTGACCTAATAAACTCTCTGAAAAGTCAGAGAAATATGTTTATGAAGTTTATTTTAAGTGGAACTGGAACCAATGCAGGTTCAGTACTTGGTGCTTGCAGAGTCCAATTAACAAGAGCAAGGTGTGGTATAAAGTGACTTATTCCAAAGCTAGGTTAGGGGAAGAAGTACAAGCTTCCTGCCTTAAGGGTCCTGCTTCACTTTTGGAGCAGGAAGTGGGTACTTTTTATGAGAAGTATAAAAAGTGTGCCTGGTATAAATGATACACAGAAGAGGAACCAAGCAGGTGGAGGTTCTTGTACTTCACTGCCTTATCTACTAGGTGGTAAAGTTGGCATCTTCATGGGCAGAAGTAGGTTGTAGGGTGGCTAAAACTCTGAAACTCTGCAGGTGGTAGAGAGTCTCACCTGATGGACACTCTGTGTTGTAAATTGACTGTTGTCTCTCTAAGCAGTCTCCCGGTGGCTAAGAGTTCCCACTGCAGAGCTTTTCAGCAGATTGTTAGATGAACTTGCCCTTTAGGGAGTGTCTGGTGAAGGGGAGCTAAAAGGGGAGGTAAAACTTAGAAATTGCATTTCTAAAGAGCTAAGTAGGGTGTGGGGAATAGAAGGAAATAGAGAAAAGAGAAGAAAAAAATAACGTTGTCTTTTTCTTAGAAAAATGGGGATGCTCAGAGAACTGGTTTTTCTCAGCATGATTTGTAGTTTTACCCATGTCTTGCATGAAGCTGTATATTATGATTCCCTGGCAGTGTCCCATTATATGACTATTCTGCAGTTCATCATTTCTGCTGTGGATGGATATCTACATTTTTTCCAGTTTCTGGCTACTATAAATAATGCTGCTGTGAAGTTCCTGTTCAGGAATCTTGGGGTATACATGCCGGGGTGTCTGTCTCCAGGATCCAATGCCCAAAGGAAAGAATACTTGATCATAGAAAATGAGTATCCTTCAGCCTTACTGGATAATTCCAAATTATTTTCTACAGTGGTTATAACAGTTTCCATTCTCATAAGCCATGTATCAGAGTTCCTGTATCTCCACATTCCCCACACTGGATATTGTCAGACTAGTTTTAGTCAATCTGATGATACTGTGTGGCTCTTAGTTTGCGTTTTTTGATAATCACTACTGAGCTTGAATATCTTTTCATATACTTGTTGGCTATTCGGATATCTTTTTGCATAGTATGCGTTAACAGCTAGATTCTTCCCCTTATAGTGAGTGAATAAACAAGTTCTTTGGAATTCTTGTTTTGGGTTTTGTTTGTTTTGTTTTTTGAGAGAGAGTCTCACTCTGTTCCCCAGGCTAGAGTATGTTAGCATTATGTCAGCTTAGTGCAACCTCCACCTCCCAGGTTCAAACAGTTCTCCTGCCTCAGCCTCCCAAGGGATTACAGGTACCCACCACTATTCCTGGCCGATTTTTGTATATTTAGTAGAGACAGAGTCTTACCATGTTGGCCAGGCTGGTCTAGAACTCCTTACCTCAAGTGATCCGCCTGCCTCAGCCTCCCAAAGTCCTGGGAATTCAGACATGAGCCATCACATCTGCTCTTGGGATTCTTGCATAAGGAATCCTCTCCTACCTCAGGATCATAAAGATAATCTCATATATATATATATATATATGTATGTATGTATGTATTTAAAATATATATTAAATATATATTAAAATATGTTAAATAGATATGTATTGAAAATTTACATATGTATTAAATATATATATATACACACATATATTTTGAAAGAGTTTCGCTCTTGTTGCCAAGTCTGGAGTGCAATGGCACAATCTCAGCTCACGGCAACCTCCGCCTCCCAAGTTCAAGTGATTCCTCTGCCTCATCCTCCTGAGTAGCTGGGATTACAGGCATGTGCCATCACGCCCAGCTAATTTTGTGTTTTTAGTAGAGACGGGGTTTCTCCATGTTGATCAGGCTGGTCTCGAACTCCCGACCTCAGGTGATCCGCCCACCTCAGCCTCCCAAAGTGCTAAGATTACAGCCGTGAGCCACCACGTGGCCTATTTTTTTTTTTAAGCTTTATAGTTTCGACTTTCACATTTTGGTTTTTCTCTACCTGGAATTGATTTTTGTGTTTGCTTGGGGAAGTGTGTGTTTCTGGACTCTTGTTGCTGTTCCATTAGTATATTTGTCCCTGTGTCAGTCCCCACGTTGTACTAATGATCTGTAAGTCATGCTGGTGAGAGGAAAGCCTTCTTATTATTGTTCTTCAAGAGTTTCTTAGCCCATGGCGTTTCCTCATCAGTTTTAGAATTAGCGTCTCCAGTTCAGAGTTACACACTTACACAGATGGAGGTTTTGATAGCCATTACATTTAGACCATAGATCCATTTTGGAGAGAACTGACCTTTCTGCAGCATGGAGGCTACCAGTTTGTAACCACCCTTCTCAATATCATCCGTGACTAGAGAAGAGGTGAGAAAATGGCCCTTGATCCCAGTCACTTCCTGGCCCCTTCTGAGTTGTGTGAAAGAAGCCACACAATTCTTCTGCAGCTCCTTAGACCTGTTCAGAAGAGTTCTACCCGATTCCCTTCATTGATATGTGGTTTTGTTTGTTTCTTAATTATGGTAAAAACACAAAATTTACGATCTTTACCATTTTAAAATATATAGTTCAGTTGGTTGTGACAACTATTATTCACACTTTTGTGCTACAGATTTCAAAACTTTTTCACCTTACAGAACTGAAACTCTACCCGTGAACAAATCCCCATTTCCCCTACTTCACCCAGCCCCTGGCAACCACCATTCTTTTTTCTATGATTTGTCTACTTTAGGTACCTCATATAAGTGGCATATACAGTATTTGTCTATTTTTGACAGGCTTATTTCACTTAATGTTCTCAAGCTTCATCCATGTTGTAGCATGTGACAGGATGTCCTTCCTTTTTAAGGCTGAATAATATTCCATGGTATTATGTTCAACTTTTTTTTTATCAATTCATGGATCATTGGATATTTGGGTTGCCTCTGCCTCTTGGCTATTGTGAATAGCTGCTACAAAACATGGGTGAACAAGTATATCATCAGTGCTGGAGGTTTCCAGGACCACCGGATACTGAAAACATGGTGAACAAGTATATCATCGGTGCTGGAGGTGTCCAGGACCACCGGATACTGAAAACATGGTGAACAAGTATATCATCAGTGCTGGAGGTGTCCAGGACCACCGGATACTGAAAACATGGTGAACAAGTATATCATCAGTGCTGGAGGTGTCCAGGACCACCGGATACTGAAAACATGGTGAACAAGTATATCATCAGTGCTGGAGGTGTCCAGGACCACCGGATACTGAAAACATGGTGAACAAGTATATCATCAGTGCTGGAGGTGTCCAGGACCACCGGATACTGAAAACATGGTGAACAAGTATATCATCAGTGCTGGAGGTGTCCAGGACCACCGGATACTGAAAACATGGTGAACAAGTATATCATCAGTGCTGGAGGTGTCCAGGACCACCGAATACTGAAAACATGGTGAACAAGTATATCATCAGTGCTGGAGGTTTCCAGGACCACCGAATACTGAAAACATGGTGAACAAGTATATCATCAGTGCTGGAGGTGTCCAGGACCACCGGATACTGAAAACATGGTGAACAAGTATATCATCAGTGCTGGAGGTTTCCAGGACCACCGGATACTGAAAACATGGTGAACAAGTATATCATCGGTGCTGGAGGTTTCCAGGACCACCGGATACTGAAAACATGGTGAACAAGTATATCATCGGTGCTGGAGGTTTCCAGGACCACCGGATACTGCAGTTCCGTGTATGGAAATTTAAGTGCTTAGAAAAGTGGAAAGGCAGGAGTGATTGGGCTTGGAGGCTGCTTTGTGTGAAAGGACCCTTGCTCTTTTTGTCACCGTACATTTAAATGTAGGCTAAGTTGATCATTACTAAAAGTTGATCTTGACTAAAGGTAATGATACAACTTGTTTGTGCCACAGTCTCACTCTGTCACACAGCCTGGAGAGCAGTGGCATGATCTCAACTCACTGCACCTTCGACCTCCTAGGCTCAAGCTGTCCTCCTACCTCAGTCTCTTGAGTAGCTGGAACCACAAGAACGCTAATAGTCTTCTTTCCATCTCATTCCCTGCTATCCAGCTGCCCTCTCTAGTGGCAGCCAACATTGTCACTGTCTTATGTTTCCTTCTGGGGTATTCTATGCAAAAACAAATGCATATTTTCCCCTCCCTTTTTACAAAGGGTGGTAGAATGTGCCCATTTTTTACCTTTATTCTTTTTTGGGGGGACCTAGTTTTTGCTTTCTTCGCCCAGGCTGGAGTGCCGTGGTGTGATCTCAGCTCACTGAAACCTCCGCCTCCCAGGTCAAGCAGTTCTGCATTAGCCTCCCAAGTAGTTGGGATTACAGGTGCACACCATCATGCCCAGCTCATTTTATATTTTTTAATAGAGACGTGGTTTCACCATATTGGCCAGGCAAGTCTCGAACTCCTGACCTCAGGTAATCTGCCCTCTTTGGTCTCCCAAAGTGCCAGGATTACAGGCATGAGCTGCCGTTCCTAACCTTTTTAATTTTAATTTTATTTCTAGAGACAATGTCTTACTATGCTGCCTGGGCCCATCTTGAACTCCTGGGCTCAAGCAGTCTTGCCACTTTGGCCTCCCAAAGTGCTGGGATTACAGATGTGAGTCATCATGCCCAGCCCCCTGATTCTTTTTTACATAATATTTTTATTTTTTTTCTTTTTTAAGGCTGCAGTGTGATGGTGCGATCTTGGCTCACTGCAACATTCACCTCCTGAGTTCAAACGATTCTCCTGCCTCGGCCTCCTGAGTAGCTGGGATTACAGGTGCCTGCCACCATGCCTGGACAATTTTTGAATTTTTAGTGGAGACAGGGTTTCAGCATGTTGGCCAGGCTGGTCTCAAACTCCTGACCTCAAGTGATCCTGCTGCCCTGGCCTCCCAAAGTGCTAGGATTACAAGCATGAGCCACCATGCCCAGCCCATAATATTCTTTGGAGATAAACATTATTTTTTATGGCTAAAGGGTTCAATGTATGGATGAACATTTATTTAGTCCCCTATTCATGAACAGCTTGGATTCTAGTCTTTTGGTATTACATTTATTTTCATAAATATATCATACATAATATAGTATTTCTAGGATACTGGAGGATAAATTGCAAGTAGAATGCTGGGCCAAAAGGCATGTATATTTATACATTTTTAAAGGATTTTAAAATATTATTTACAAGCTTTGAGCTTTTTTTTAAACATACTTTTTAGTTGTGTTGTTATTGTGAAGTATAACACTGATTCTGAATGAGGAGCCTGGGTTGGGAAGCTCTATACTGAGCATCTCTGATGCAAAGATATGGATTTATTTTTGCTGCTGCGGCTAGTTAGGGTCTGATCAAGCAAGGAAAGGCATTTTCAAGAGTAAGAATATAACCAAATTACTAGACATATATTCCAACTTTTGAAAGGCTTCCTTTTCATATTCAGTGTTCAACAACCACCTATTAGCTACACAGAGTGGTCCCCTAGTTGCAATAAAGAATATCAATTTGTGGGCTGGGTGCAGTGCCTCACGCCTGTAATCCCAGCACTTTGGGAGGCTGAGGTGGGTGGATCATGAGGCCAGGAAATTGAGACGATCCTGGCCAACATGGTGTAACTCTGTCTTTACTTAAAATAAAAAATACAAAAATTAGCTGGGCATGGTGGCTTATGCCTGCAGTCCTAGCTACTTGGGAGGCTGAGGTGGAAGAATAGCTTGAACCAGGGAGTTGGAGGTTGCAGTGAGCCGAGATCGTGACACTGCACTCCAGTCTGGTCACAGAGCAAGACCATCTCAGAAAGGTGTAGCAAATGCTGTTTTCAAATAAAATTCAAATGGAAATTAATTAAATACACAAATACTACCAGTGTCATTTTTGTTTTAAATATTTAGTAGCAAATACCTTGAAATCTTCGTGCATGATTTTTAACATAGGACAATATAACAAATGCTGTTCAGTGCTTTCCTATTCTAATACTAGAGTGTTTTTGTGCAGATGCATGTATTTTAAATTTTTAACAGCCTTCTACTAAACAATGTACTTATTAACAGGTGCAATGCTTCATCTCCTAAATGAAAAGGTTCCATTCTTTAGTTTCTGTAGTTTCTTGTTGATTTAAATTAAACAAGAACAAAGTGATCAAGAAAGACAGCCTCCATATTAAACCACCTTGGCAAGATCTGACCATTCATGGAGACATTGGCTAATCATTAACTGGACTTACTACAGTCAAAACTTGAAGGTCCCCTGGATTATTGTTTTATTGAGTCCAAGATTAGCTGACTTACAGGGCAGGAAGAATGGGAGTTTCTTTTCCTACTGTTACCTCTCAAGTTTAAAGAGAAAGGTGACCTTTCACTTTTCTGATGTTTTCTGTCACTCTCCTCATTCACAGGGATATCTGTGTCTGCCTTACATGGCACTGCAGGTGCCCTTTTCTGATGTTTTCTGTCACTCTCCTCTAATTCACAGGGATATCTGTGTCTGCCTTACATGGCACTGCAGGTGCCCTTTTCTGATGTTTTCTGTCACTCCTCTAATTCACAGGGATATCTGTGTCTGCCTTACATGGCACTGCAGGTGCCCTTTTCTGATGTTTTCTGTCACTCCTCTAATTCACAGGGATATCTGTGTCTGCCTTACATGGCACTGCAGGTGCCCTTTTCTGATGTTTTCTGTCACTCTCCTCATTCACAGGGATATCTGTGTCTGCCTTACATGGCACTGCAGGTGCCCTTTTCTGATGTTTTCTGTCGCTTGTCTAATTCACAGGGATATCTGTGTCTGCCTGACATGGCACTGCAGGTGCCCTTTTCTGATGTTTTCTGTCATTCCTCTAATTCACAGGGATATCTGTGTCTGCCTTACATGGCACTGCAGGTGCCCTTTTCTGATGTTTTCTGTCACTCCTCTAATTCACAGGGATATCTGTGTCTGCCTGACATGGCACTGCAGGTGCCCTTTTCTGATGTTTTCTGTCACTCCTCTAATTCACAGGGATATCTGTGTCTGCCTGACATGGCACTGCAGGTGCCCTTTTCTGATGTTTTCTGTCACTCCTCTAATTCACAGGGATATCTGTGTCTGCCTGACATGGCACTGCAGGTGCCCTTTTCTGATGTTTTCTGTCACTCCTCTAATTCACAGGGATATCTGTGTCTGCCTTACATGGCACTGCAGGTGCCCTTTTCTGATGTTTTCTGTCACTCCTCTAATTCACAGGGATATCTGTGTCTGCCTGACATGGCACTGCAGGTGCCCTTTTCTGATGTTTTCTGTCACTCCTCTAATTCACAGGGATATCTGTGTCTGCCTTACATGGCACTGCAGGTGCCCTTTTCTGATGTTTTCTGTCACTCCTCTAATTCACAGGGATATCTGTGTCTGCCTTACATGGCACTGCAGGTGCCCTTTTCTGATGTTTTCTGTCACTCCTCTAATTCACAGGGATATCTGTGTCTGCCTTACATGGCACTGCAGGTGCCCTTTTCTGATGTTTTCTGTCACTCCTCTAATTCACAGGGATATCTGTGTCTGCCTTACATGGCACTGCAGGTGCCCTTTTCTGATGTTTTCTGTCACTTGTCTAATTCACAGGGATATCTGTGTCTGCCTTACATGGCACTGCAGCAGCACCATCTTCTCTCCGACGTCACCGTCCGGGGGTTTGTTGCTGGAGCTACTAACATCCTTTTTCGACAACAGAAACACCTCAGTGATGCCATTGTGGAAGTACGTTTATGTGTGAGTGTGTATTTGGCCCTGCTCATCCCAGTTTTCCTTTCTTAACTACAATGATGAATGTATAGTAACAACACTAGAAATGATAATAATTGTACACTGCATGTCATGTACGTATTTTATGTGTATCAACTGGTCTAATTCTCATAACAACCCAGTCAATAGCACTATACTATCCATATTTTACACTGCAGAGGCTGAGAAACAGAGAGAAAAAGTGATTTGTACAATATCAGACACCCAGTAAATGGGTAAACCAGATAACCAATCTGGGCAACTGGGCCTACCAGTACCTCACGATTTTAAAAATGTGTTTATTGTTTAAGTAATTTTAATCTTTCTAGCCTATTTAGAATGCTCTTGATACCAAGAAGGAAGCTATGCATAAATATTTGACATCAATATATAAGAAATTTAAATTGTTACTTTACAATTGAAATAACCTTTTTTTTTTTTTTTTGAGACAGAGTTTCACTCTTGTTGCCCAGGCTAGAGTAGAATGGCATGGTCTCGGCTCACTGCAACCTCCACTTTCCAGGTTCAAGTGATTCTCCTGCCTCAGCCTTCCAAGTAGCTGGGATTACAGGTGCTTGCTACCACACCCAGCTAATTTTTTCAGTTTTTGTAGAGATGGAGTTTTACCCTATTGGCCAGGCTGGTCTCAAACTCCTGACCTCAGATGATCCACCTGCCTTGGCCTCCTCAAGTGCTGAGATTACAAGTGTGAGCCACTGCACCCAGCCTGAAATAATTTTTGAGAAAGAAATGTTTGAGGCCTGGTGCAGTGGCTCACACGTGTAATCCCAGCACGATCAGATGCTGAGGTGGGTGGATCACCTGAGGTCAGGAGTTCAAGACCAGCCTGGCCAACATGGTGAAACCCTCTCTCTACTAAATATACAAAAAATTAGCTGGGCATGGTGGTGCATGCCTGTAATCCCAGCAACTCAGGAGGCTGAGACAGGAGAATCACTTGAACCTGGGAGGCAGAGGCTGCAGTGAGCCAAGATTGCACCACTGCACTCCAGCCTGGGTGACAGAGTAAGACCCTGTCTCCATAAAAAAAAAAAAAAAAAGGCCAGGTGTGATGCCTTATGCCTGTAATCAGCACTTTGAGAGGCTGAGATGGGTGGATCACAAGGTCAGGAGTTCAAAACCAGCCTGGCCAAGATGGTGAAACCCTCTCTCTACTAAATATACAAAAATTAACCAGGCATGGTGGCACACACTTGTAATCCCAGCTACTTGGGAGGCTGAGGCAGGAGAATCACTTGAATCCAGGCTGCAGAGGTTGCAGTGAGCCGAGATCACACCACTGCACTCCAGCCTGGGCAATACAGTCAGACTCTCTCAAAAACAAAAAATAAAAGGCTTATATAGTTTCTGACAGAAAGTATCGAAACATTTATTGGGCAAATTGTTATAATAGAATGAAAAGTCCAGGATTCAAAGATCCATTTATTACAATTCCAAATTTGAAGAAGAAAAATATATATACATTTTCCAAGACAGGAGGATACAGATGGTAGGATCACAGAGCTGCTTCAACATTTTTGGTTACATTCTACTTCTGTAGTGGGTTGGTGGGTTCATAGGAATTTCTTTTATTATACTTCAAAACTAACCAGTAAGTTAAATGCATTTCTTAGCATGTCAAATACTGCATAGTAAGAATATTCTAAAGTATCTGCATGCAAAAGAAAAAGTATTTAAGGAATTACACTTGTTAAATGTGTTCATTTCTGCTAGTGAAATAACGGTGATTCTTACATATATTTCTGTATTTTCCTAAATATTTGCAATCCACATGAATTACTTTTATAATGTAAAATTCTCTAAGTGTGTATTTTCTAAAAACAGAAAATGAGCATTTTATAAATAGAAAACTTCAGTGTACAGACCTCCTTCTCAGACTCACCTTTTGAGAATGCTGTTATTCATATTTTTATCTCCAGCCCCACCTTCCCCGTAGTTACTCTGTAAAGTGTGGCGTGGATGTCTGCGTGAATGCAGACTCTCACTTGTACCTGGATACCCTCTAGGTAGAAGAAGCTCTGATCCAGATTCACGATCCCGAACTCAGGAAGCTGCTTAACCCAACCACTGCAGACCTAAGGTTCGCAGATTACCTAGTGAGGCACGTGACTGAGAACCGCGATGATGTCTTCCTAGATGGCACGGGCTGGGAGGGAGGTGACGAATGGATCCGGGCCCAGTTTGCAGTCTACATTCATGCCCTGCTGGCTGCCACACTGCAGTTAGGTAAGAAACCCTGTGGAGCACACAGCTACCTGTTTTATTATAATTTTTCATTTTGTCACACCTATGAGGTTTTGGATTGCACAATAAATACATATTCCTTATAGAAAAATTGCGACTTATTCCCTCATACAGAGCCACTTTTACCATGCTGAGTACCTTATAGCCTTCCACATCTTCCTATGCAGGTATTTTGGGTTTCGGTTTGTTGGTAGTTTTGGTGGTCCTTTTATAAAAATGGATCCCTACATACATGTTTTCTGAAACCTTTTATAACTTCATAATAGAACCAACACATATCAACATAACATGAACATATATCGTCACCTTTACATGGCTGCTTCGTATTCTTTTCTGTGGAAAGATATATCAGTATTTGGCAGCTGTTTATGAATACTGCCTACATGTTTCTAGGATGCATAAAGGGAGAAAGAAGAATATAAAAAACCGAAATCATATAAATTTATAACCCATTCTAAGAAATATTATTCCTATTTAATAGTTAAAATAGGACAGGTAAACATGGGCTTACTCCTGCATTAAAACTATCTCATTCCTCTTGGGAAAAAAATGTATAAATAGTGAAAATGGAGCTCTGCATTGAGCTTTTCACCTTGGACATTAGGCAGATACTCATTACAGTTGTTAAAAATGTGTTATGGCTGGGCACAGTGGCTCACACCTCTAATCCCAGCACTTGGGGAGCCGAGGCGGGTGGGTTACCTGAGGTCGGGAGTTTGAGACCAGTCTGACCGACATGGTGAAACCCCATCTCAAAAAAAAAAAAAAAGTGTTGAGCTTGTGTTTTTTCCTTCAGTTAACTGTAACTATTTGTTTAATTGTGATGAAATACATATAGCATAAAATTTACCATTTTTAAAGGTACCATTCACATTGTCTTGTCAATAGATTTGGTTTAATCAACACCAGCCTCCGTCACCACACACTGCCAGGTTAGTTATTCACGTTGCGCATAAGTAGTTTTAAATCAGGTTTCAGGAGTGTTTTTCATTTGTAAAACATGGTTAAGGAACAAGTCCTCATTTGTTAATGGGTTATTATTAAATGTTTGCCACCAGCACAAATGTAGCAGCTGACCTTTAACTCCAAAGCATTCAGTAATCTAGAAAGAAAACTTCAGCGAGTCTCCACCAGAATGTAGCTTGAGTAATTAATTTGCTTTTTAAAAAAAAATTTGCCCAGGAGGCTGTAAGCACTGAAAATGGTAGCTTACATTTTTTTTTTGAACATTAAATATATGCAGGGACCAGTGTTCTGAACGCTTTGCATCTAATAATTCATTTCATCCTCACAACAATCCCGGAGATAGGTACCTTGTCATCGCCTTCTCGAGAAGAGAAAATGAAGCCCACAAAAGTTAAATAGCTTGTTCATCCATCTGATAAGAGGCTGAGGCAGGCTCTGATCCCAGACAGGTTGGCTTAGGCCCATACTTCTAACAAATAACAAGGTCCAAAGAGGAAACTCAGCCCAGTGAACTGCTTGAGGAACAAACACTTAGAACAACCCCTTTGTGCTGTGTGTGGAGCTGTGTATCTCATTCATTTCCTTTCCACCAATAAAAGGTACTTTGTATTTTGCCTTCAATGCAAACAACCTGCAATTAATATATGAAGTAATAGCCATTCGTATCAGTTCTCCAAACCATTTCTGGTCTTCCACGTCGAGGAAACAGGCATGGATGCTCTCCCATCGTATTGATAAAGCTGACAACTTTATCAGTTTTCAGTAATGTTTTTTTTGAGATGGAGTCTCTCTCTCGTCACCCAGGCTAGTATGCAGTGGCATGATCTCAGTTCATTGCAACCGCTACCTCCCAGGTTCAAGCAGTTCTCTTGCCTCAGCCTCCTGAGTAGCTGGGACTATAGGCACATGCCACCACTTCCCAGCTAATACTTGTATTTTTAGTAGAGATGGGGTTTCACCATGTTGGCCAGGCTGGTCTCAAACTCCTGACCTCTGGTGATCTGCCTGCTGACCCAAAGTGCTGGGATTATAGGCAAGAGCCGCTACGCCAGGCTTTTTAAAAGTAATTTTAACAGTGAAATGCTGGGAAATTCAAGAATGAAATGCCAAATTATGACACGAAGTCCAAACAGAAAATCATGACTGAAAGAACCACATTGTGTATTCATTCTTAATTTTTGGGGGAGGGGAATGACATTCATAAAAATAGAAAGATATCCCAATTGCCTATGTCATACGTATAAATCAGTGTGTTTGTTTATTCACGTCAAGCATAACAGTTTTTGTTTAATAATGCTGTCCTCATAATGGTAAAGAGAACACGAAAATATTTTGGAGTTGTAAGGAACCTTGGAAAATACCTGGCTCAACCCTCTTATTTAATAAAATACGTTCTGAGTGATTAAGTGACTTGCCAAAGGCCACATAGCTTCTTAACAGGATTTCTGTAGCCAGACCCAAGTTTCCTGACACCTGTTAGGCTATCTCCCCCAATATGGGCGGGCAGGGGGATAAAGCCATCCTTCACCCTTTGTGGTTGTTAATGTTCACACCCCTGGATGCCTGCAGCCGAGCTTAACTGCTTTCAAATATTCACTTGACAGATAATGAAAAGATATTATCGGACTATGGGACAACTTTTATTACGGCGTGGAAGAACACTCACAACTACAGGGTGTGGAACAGCAACAAGCACCCTGCACTTGCAGAAATTAATCCAAAGTAAGCGCATCCTCTGAAGACTGATAGTACATAAATGGTTGGTTTACGAGGGCTCGATACAAAAAAAATTCCATTTTAACTTTGATATTGTGAATATCTTCAAGAATCCCCTTAAGTAGGTCATAAAAAGGTTCCCAAATACAGAGAAACAGCTTAGAAACCGCTTCCATGTTCAGATTCCATATACAAAAAGCCATGAGCATTATGGGAAGCACTAACATTTCCCTAGCTCTTGATGTAATTCAGAGAGGAAGCCCCTGGCACTTGGTGATGCTCAGTACACAGTGACTCTTCTTTAACAGAACGGTTAAACAAGACAGAAGCCTAGAAGGAAATACCACTAGTTTAAAACCGGGAGGCTATTTTAGAACATGACATGCAAAACCAATTAAAGTTAATATCTGGGGCCTGTAGTCCTAGCATTTTGAGTCCGAAGTAGGCGGATCACCTGGGGTCAGGAGTTGTTTGAGACCAGCCTGGCCAACATGCTGAAACCCCATCTCTACTAAAAATACAAAAAAAAAAAAAAAAAAATTAGCCAGACGTGGTAGTGGGCACCTATTATCCCAGCTATCCTGGAGGCCAAGGCAGGAGAATCACTTGAACCTGGGAAGTGGAGGTTGCAATGAGATGAGATTGCACCACTGCATTCCAGCCTGGACAACAAGAGGGAGACTCTGTCTCACTATCTGGACTCCTGGATATATGGTCAGACCTAGTTTCCATGTCAGACTTTAAAATTCAACAAAACTTAATACCTGCCACAGTACTGAATGTTGATGATGAAAGCTTTACCTCACATAGGCACAAAAGGCTGTTGGTTGGAGCCGTCATGAAACAGCAGAGCAGCATCAAGGGAGATCAGTTGATAGAATGTATCAGCAACCTGTTTTCCAAATTAGAAGATAAAAATGATGTGTTTTTTTACATTGATACAAGCATACACCATTTTCATTTGTATTTTAAACTTCTTTGTAAAGAATAAAAGTCAACTTTATACTGAATGCTGTATTATTTTGGGGCTAGAGTTAACTTTTCTAATGTGATTTAAGTGGTGCTAGAAAGGATACTCTGCTGCGCACGCGTGCGTGCACACACAGTCCGGGTATTTAAGCCATAGCAACTTGGGGAAGCATCTGCATGAGTACAGTGTTACAGAGGGTTTTGATAGTATGTCTGTTAAGCTTTATATTATGCATCAAGAAAAATAACTAAGGAGCTGGGCACAGTGGTGTGTGCCTAGTCCCAGCTACTTGGGAGACTGAGGTGGGAGGATTACTTGAACCCACAGTTTCAAGGCCAGCCTAGGCAACATAATGAGACCCCATCTTTTAAAGTAAAAATGACTAGGTTCAACACCAATTTTGGTGAATTTAATCATCATACTTGGCTATAGAAGAAACCTATATTGCCATTCCAATATACGATAAACACAGAAATAAAAGGCAAAATCATTTTAATAGTATTAAATGAAAGGGCTGAGTTCAAAGTGTTCTCCCTCACTGACTACAAAGCCTGTGTTCTCAGCGTGCTGAACGGAAACAGATGTGGAGCTGCTCAGCAGGGGGCACTCACAGGGTAGTGCTGGGAAGGCCGGGCCTGCGCTCACTCAACACTCAGAGCCATCCCAGTCTCCTCCCTGGGCTCTGCGCTGGGAGGCCTGGTCAGGTCTTTATCTGTCACTACATCTGCTGCTTTTAGCTTGAACCAGCTCTGTAGATGTTAGTGCAGGTCCAAAAGAGCCTTAGCTCAAATGAGTTTTTAAAGGATTATGAAATAATGCTTAGAAGAACATGTAAGGAAATTGAGGCTATTTAGATGGAAAGACGGCTGAAGGAAGGACTTGTTAACTGAAATATATAGGTAGGGAAATTATGCAGATATGGTAGCGCAGACCAAGGGAGAACTTCCCTTTCATCCTCTTAAGTTTCCCTGGAAAGTCAGCTGACAAAAGGCAGATGAATAGGAGAAATGGCATGCAAATTTATTAATGTACATGAGGGAGAGCTACAGGTGACTGGATTATGTACCCAAGCTCGTGTACCCAGCCCACCAACGGGGTACACAAGTTTATATACATACCTACAGAAAGAACTGGGGGCTCAGAGCATAGCCAAAAACAGTTTAGGGTGGTAAGTCAGGTTGCAGGAGGGAGGAGAAAGGAGGCCTGGCTGGCAGAGTGAGTCTCTTTGTACAGACAAAACTTCACGGGTAACAGCCTTCAGAAAGAAGTGGTGGTAAATGTTTCTTTGAGACCTTTAAAGGTGTCAGACATTTTGGAGGGCCTCAGAGCAAACCAGGCTGCATTAATGCAGATTTTCTCTACAGATGCAAATCTACCCCCAAAATGACAGCTTTTCAGTCATTTTTGCATTTCCAGCCCTTCTGAATAGCCATCTTGAAATATGTCAAAGAAGTATATTTTGGGGTGAAATAGTCTAGTTTCCTTCAGTAGAATTTTCAACATTTCTACCAAATTAAAAATAAGAAATGTGGTCATGCCTGGTGGCTCATAACCTGTAATTCTAGCCCTTTGGGAGGCCGAGTCGGGCAGATCACCTGAGCCCAGGAGTTCAAGACCAGCCTGGGCAAAATGTGAAACCCCATCTCTACTAAAAATACAAAAAATTAGCTGGGTGTGGTGGTGAATGCCTGTAATCCCAGCTATTTGGGAGGCTGAGCCTGGAGAATCACTTGAACCTGGGAAGCAGGTTGCAGTGAGCAGAGAGCGTGCTGCTGCACTCCAGCCTGGGTGACAGTGAGACTGTCCAGAAAAATAAAACAGGAAATGCTAGACTTCTGTTATCAGAGGGGCCATTCAGAGAGATTTCAAACTAATTATGACTTTTGAGAAGTATGAAACCCTTTCTTTTAACTCCTGAAGATTAGGGAAGGCAACATTCTGACTTAACAAGCAGGCATATTTCATCCCTTCAATATAGCCATTCCAGTAACGTAGAGAATGATCAGATGATGTGTCAGTATTTTCACTCCTATGATTCAGGAATCTAGTGATAAGTGTTACATATCCTTACTTCGGGCCATGAAGAGGAGTTTGTTGTCACTTGAAGAACCATGAATTGTATTTTGTGAGCACCTGTGGATTTCACTAGGGTGACTTTGCCCTTGACAGAGGGACTGCTGAGATAAGAATTGGATATTTACTGACTCCCCATTTTATGTGGTCCAGTTGCCTGATTTTTTTTCCTACTGACTGTATAATTCCAGAATGGCTGATTTTTTTTAATACACTTTTTTCTTTTAACATAATGGAAATAGGGAAGTCAGAATAATGTACTTTCTTACAAAAGTAAAGACGCTATCTTTTTAAGACTGCTTTTTGGGTTGCTTTTCTAACAGACAGTAGAGATTTTGCTTATCCATCCACAAATCTTTGCATAACCAATAGCACACATTTATAAGATGGCCAGGATCAAGGTATATGATGTATGACCATGGCCTAAACCAGTGACTCACTTTGACTGTCCTGGTAGCTTGTAAAGAAATCTCAAGCCCCACCCCAGTCAGACTAAATAAATTATCAGGATAGCACTAACACAGGCTACCCGCCCCCACCACCTGTTTTACAAGTGAGGAAGCTAAAGCTCAGAGGGGTTAAGTCATCTCTTCTGGATCTCATCACTGTAAGTGGAGAGCTGTGAGGAAAGCCAAGTTTCTTGATACCAGGTTCAGCACCACCCCCAGCTACGTCCATGAGAAGCTTACTGCTATTTTCTTGTGAAAATTCTTTTTTGCAGCCTTTTTGGTAAAATACTGATAGTTTAAACTCAAACTTTTTTTTTACAGCCATCCATTTCAAGGCCAATACTCAGTGTCAGACATGAAGTTAAGATTCTCACAGTAAGTACTTAGAGAAGATACTGGGAAAATTCTTAAGTTTGAATTTATGCCGTATGTTTCATTGCTAAGTGGGAATTGTTTTCTCTACTTGATAGACTTCTGCTTCAAATAGTAACCAAATATGTGCATAACATTCTTTAGCTCAGCAGTGTGTATGTTTCAGAGTGAAAACACCGCTGTTCCCAGAGGATGGTGTGAGCTAATAACAGGATTTGTCATTTTTATTTTGGTGAAGTGCCTTTAGCGAACCATCGCTGTCAGAGAGATTTAGCCATACATACATCCTATGTCCTCACCACTTTTTGGTTCCTCTGTATGTTCTTTTTGTATATTTATTCTGAAAATGCACATGCTTAAAAGGTTAATTCATAACATAATAATTTAGCTTTTTCTCAGTGATTCTAATTTGGGATAGTTACAGAATGATTATTGTGTGTGTGTGTGTGTGTGTGTGTGTGTGTGTGTGTGTGTGTCTACATGTGTCTGTGTACATGTGTGAGATTTTTAAAAATGTACTTGGGCCGGGCATGGTGGCTCACGCCTGTAATTCCAGCACTTTGGGAGGCCCAGGCAGGTGGATCACGATGTCAGGAGTTTGAGACCAGCCTGAACAAAATGGTGAAACCCCGTCTCTACTAAAAATACACAACATAGCTGGGTGTGGTGGCACACGACTGTAATCCCAGCTACTCAGGAGGCTGAAGCAGGAGAATCTCTTGAACCCAGAAAGCAGAGGTTGTGGTGAGCTGAGATCGCACCACTGCACTGCAGCCTGGGTTTCCAGAGCAAGACTCCGTCTCAAAAAATAAAATAAAAATAAATTGTATTTAACACTTATTTTATCTTTTACTCAGTTCTGTTCAGAATAGTGAACGTGGCAAAAAAATTGGAAACGTCATGGTCACAACTAGCCGGAATGTTGTACAAACAGGAAAAGCAGTTGGTAAGACATGCCTTTAGCCAGGAACAAATTGGAATCACAATTTGTTTTCTGCATCCATTTTCTATCTTCAATATGTAATTGATAAAACAAACATATAAAGTTGTAAAGATCTGTGTTACATAATAATACAAGAGTTTTTTTAATTTTTGTGTTATTAATTTGAAAAATTCCAAATAATACCATAAAAGGTCAAACTCCATTACATCTAATAGAGAGTGACAAAATTTTTTGATGAAGTAAGCTGTTTTGTTACCAAAATTCAAGCTTCACCAGAGTTTTCTTACCCCATTATCTGTGCTGTCTATAGTTCTATTTAAATGGCTGAGACTCATAATAAAAGTAAGTACTAGGAGCTGCTGTCCTCTAAGGTAGTATTACACAATAGAGAAAATGAAGCCAACAGTTGGTTTTTTGAAAAGATCAACAATATTTATAAAATATGTATAGACTGGTATAGATAAGAAGATACAAATTACCAATATTAAGGATGAAAGAGGGATGATTAGTGTAGCTCCTACAGAAATTAAAAGAACAGAAAATAAGGGAATGTTGTGAACATCTTTATGCTAACAAATTTAACAAATGAAATACACAAATTCTTTTTAAAGACTCATTACCAGCTGGGCGGGGTGACTCACGCCTGTAATCCCAGCACTCTGGGAGGCTGAGGCGGGTGGATCATGAGGTCAGGAGTTCGAGATCAGCCTGAGCAACGTGGTGAAACCCATCTCTACTAAAAATACAAAAATTAGCTGGGCATGGTGGCGTGTGCCTGTAATCCCAGCTGCTCAAGAGGCTGAGGCAGGAGAATCAATTGAACCCCAGGAGGCCTAGGTCGCAGTGAGCCGAGATCATGCCATGGCACTCCAGTCTGGGCAACAGAGCAAGACTGTCTCAAAGAAAAAAACAAAGACCTACATTACCAAAACAGTTGCAAAAAAAAATATGAATACCCCTATTATCTATTAAAGAAATTGTGCCGGATGCGCTGACTCATACATGTAATCCCAGCACTTTGGGAGACCGAGGCAGGAGGATTGCTTGAGTCTAGGCATTCAAGACCGCCTGAGCAACATAGTGAGACCCCATCTCTACAAAAAAATTTTTTAAGTTGGTAGGCATAGTGGTACATGCCTGTAGTCCCAGCTACTCTAAGGGCTGAAGTGGGAGGATTGCTTGAACCCAGGAAGTCAAGGCTGCAGTGAGCCATGACAGCGCCACTGCACTTCAGCCTGGGTGACAGAGCAAGCGTCTTACAAAAGAGAAAGAAATTGAATTTAACATGAAAAGCCTTGCCATAAGGTTTTTAATTTAAACCAGGCTGCCAAGGTCGCTCCAGTTTGAACTGTCAAATGTTTAAGGAAGGAATAATATTAATTCTAGTTTTACACAAAATCTTAAAATAAGGTCCTACTCGCCAACTCATTTGATAAGGCTGGTATTGATATCAAAGTCAGATAAATGGCAGCAAGCTCTTTTGCACCTCGCTGTTTTCACTTACAATATTTTGAATGTCGTTCCACATGAATTCTAAAATTTTACATTTTCTATATTTTTAACTTTTTATTTTGATGTAATTTCGAACTTGAGCATTGCAACAATGCCAGAAACTCTGAGTTATCTCTGATTCACCAATTATTTACGTTTTGCCCCATCTGCTTTGTCATACAATATGTTGTAAACAATAGGGCATTACTACTTCCCTAGCTTCTGAGAGAGGTTAACCATTTCTGAACACAGTTCAAAAGTCCCAGAAGTAGGTCATCTTTGTGTAGGGGTCCTCATATCCCCAGTTTTCTGAATACCTAGAGAGAGAAAGAAAACTCTGCAGACTCACATTTGTAAAGACAAATGCAGAACACATAGCGCATTGCAAAGGAACGGAATTTAGCCCCATAAGCATTTATCTACAAACAATATTCATTTGACTTATTCTGAATTTATATTTTTAATAGAAAAACTATGCTATATTGTAGCTAAATTATATACTGCTGCTGAGAGTTAAATTCTAAAGCCAAATCTCTTCTATATTCTCTCCAAGAATAGTGGGAGTATTTTAGTCAACCCACATCATTTCACTTTAGCATCACCTTTTCTTCTGAGAGAGTCTCAACTCTGTTGCCCAGGCTGAAATACAATATGGCACGATCTTGGCTTACTGTAACCTCCACAAGGATTCTCCTCCCTCAGCCTCCCAAGTAGCTAGGACTACAGGCGTGCACCACCATGCCTGGCTAATTTTTCTATTTTTTTTGTAGAGACAGGGTTTTGCCATGTTGTCCAGGCTATCTCAGATTCCTGGACTCAAGCTAACCACCCATCTCAGCTTCCCAAAGTGCTGGGATTACAGGTGTGAGCCCCCATGCCAGGCCTAACGTTAACTTTTGAGGTAATGTTCTATAAAACAACAGACCCGCAGCAGAGAGAGTTGTGTACATCTTTGTTTAACATAACTTCATTTCAGGTGATAAAAGCACATTTCCCTAAAACAGCCTAACCACTCTTCCCTGTTTAGGTGGTTACCAATTATCAAGCTGGTCTTTAAGGAACACAAAGCAGTTTGGCTTTTTGAGCTCTCTGATTATTCTGATATGTAGTCAGTGTTGCTAGGGTTAGGGTATTAAAGGAACAGTTTGATGAATACTTTCAGAATGCTTAGGCAGGTAGGCTCTTACACCAGCAAATCATCTATTTTTCCTTAAAACATTCCCATGGAAAGAGATTGTTTTGAAACTAAAAATTTAAATATTTTGGCTATTGTTAACATATTGGTGTGTTCTAGTGAATTAACATTTATTGGCTGGGCACAGTGGCTCACACCTGTGATCCCAACACTTTGGGAGGCTGAGGCAGGAGGATCACTTGAGCCAAGGTGTTTAAGACCACCCTGGGCGACATAATGAGACCCTGTCTCTACAAAAAATCAAATTAGCCAGGTGTGGTCACAAATGCCTGTGGTCCCAGCTACTTGGGAAGCTGAGGCGGGAGGATCACTTGAGCCCAGGATGTCGAGGCTGCAGGGAGCCGTGACCACTCCACTGCACTCCAGCCTGGGCAACAGAGCAAGATCCTGTCTCAGAAAAAAAGTTTTCTTAATTAAAAGTTTATTATGTTGGTCTTTCACTGTCTCAAAAGTTAAGGCATTTTTCCTTTGTTTTTCTTGTCTCCATCCAGGCCAGTCAGTTGGGGGAGCTTTTTCCAGCGCAAAGACAGCTATGTCTTCATGGCTTTCTACTTTCACCACTTCCACCTCCCAGAGTCCCACTGAGCTGCCGGACGGGAAGCCTTGAGCAAGGTGTCAGAGGCTGCTGTTGCTTTCTGAGGTTGAAATGGCCCCTGTCTGTCTGCTGCTCCCAGGCTGTTTACCAGCCACAGACCCACAGCAGGGGACCATACGTCGAACTGTTTACATGGACGGTTGCTCTAAGTGAATGTTTTGGGTTGCCGAAATGATGAAATCACAGCCTAGCAGGGATGGCTTTCCAGGTTGGGGTTTCAATTGACCACTTTATTTTAGTCTGAGCCTGATTAAAACATACAATGGACCTTCTAATGAATTTTGAGTTCTGATACTGTACATTGGTTTACTTTAGAAGAGTTTTTACTTATGTAAATTTTGTTCTGTTTTGGTGTTTGAATATGTAGATGGTCACTGTAATTTATACTTGCTAAAATTAATTTATATTACCGTTTTCTCTAAGGTTGGCCTTAAAATGTGCTTATAAAGTGAAGGGGTCATGCAGTCGGGCCTTAATTATTTTGCTGAATTTTGTGATTTTTTGCTTTCTACCCACAAAACATTAATTTGCTTCCTCCCAGAAACATGAAAGTCGGGGTGGTAGTTCTGAGGATTGGGTGTTCTCTGTTTTTAATTTGTTCTTTTCACATCCTATAAACCTGCTTTCAGATATCAAGAGTATCATTGTGCTTTCCTTCTCTTTATAACTGCAGGTGGGTGTGCGGAGGAATAGCAGAGTGATGGTTCCATGATACTGAAGCAGATTAACGTGAACGTGTCGATAAGGCAATACTTGCAAAGACCTGTGTGTTTATTTTTCAGCCCCAGTCATGTTGCAGTCTTTTACAAGCACTTGGTTTTTAATCCAGAGTTAGTGCCATCTGTTGTATTTTTTTTTTTTTTTTTTTTTGAGACAGGGTCTGGCTCTATTGCCCAGGCTGGAGTACAGTGGCACGATCTTGGCTCACTGCAACCTCCATCTTCCAGGTTCAAGCAATTCTTGTGCCTCAGCCTCCCAAGTAGCTGGGATTACAGCATGTGCCACCACACCCAGCTAATTTTTGTATTTTTAGTAGAGATGGGGTTTCCCCATGTTGGCCAGGCTGGTCCTGATCTCCTGGCTTCAAGTGATCTGCCAGCCTTGGCCTCCCAAAGTGCTAGGATTACAGGTATAAGCCACTGTGCCAGCCTGTTTCTTTTTTAAACAGTTTTCTATTGGGTGTTTGCAGACCTACAGCTTTTCTCTTAGTCTTATTCATAAAGCCTTTCAAAGCACTTGGTCTCCTACTTCCGTAATTGAAAGTCCTCCTATAATCAATCCCTACCCCCTTCTAGAAGTATTTATAAAAGAAAAGCAAGATGATTGTAAGTGTTAAATAGAAATCAGTTTATATTCAGCAGTGCAAGTGGCAAGAGAAGCAAACCGCACCCATGACATCCGTCATTGGAGAAGGGGCATCTGCTTCATGTTAGGCACGTGCGTGCACGTGTGCGCCATCTGCTGGACATCTGGCTTCATGTTAGGCACGTGCGTGCATGTGTGCGCCATCTGCTGGACATCTGCTTCATGTTAGGCACGTGCGTGCATGTGTGCGCCATCTGCTGGACATCTGGCTTCATGTTAGGCACGTGCGTGCACGTGTGCGCCATCTGCTGGACATCTGGCTTCATGTTAGGCACGTGCGTGCACGTGTGCGCCATCTACTGGACATCTGGCTTCATGTTAGGCACGTGCGTGCATGTGTGCGCCATCTGCTGGACATCTGGCTTCATGTTAGGCACGTGCGTGCATGTGTGCGCCATCTGCTGGACATCTGGCTTCATGTTAGGCACATGCGTGCACGTGTGCGCCATCTGCTGGACATCTGGCTTCATGTTAGGCACGTGCGTGCATGTGTGCACCATCTACTGATGATCTGGACGCGGCTGGACCTCACGTGTTTGCCGTGCTCAGCTCTCATTTGCCTTTCCAGGGGACCTGGGATGAGTGTTCTCAGAGAGCACTTACAGGGAACTGCCTGCCTTTTCAATAACAACGGATACTTGGGAAATAGATTGCGAGTATGATCCACCCCAGATTGCTGGGGAATTAAAGGAGGGTACTGATTATGTTTGGTTTATTCCTCACGAAATGTTTAAGAAGTAAATGCTCCCAGGGCATTTGAAATGAACATAGAGACATAATCTAAATATCTCCGAATTTTCTAGTTTGTGTTTTCTAAACACAGCTGATATTACCCATTGGAGCACAGCTCAAGAATTCAGTGATTATACATTGAAGGGCTTAATGTGAGAACCCCATTAATTCTACTTCTTCCAAGAAAGTTAACCTCAGGAAATACTGTTTGAAGAAAGTTACACCAAACAAAACCTTACACGGGACTCTAATCTTTTTTGCGCTGAGATTATAAAGAGTTCATTCTAACATCTTGTTTCATGAGGCTGCATCATGATAGTGTGATCTGTGTGCAGTTGTGACTTTTCAGCTGCCGAAGTTCACACTTCAAGGATCTAGGAGCCCTGTGAGGGCCCATCCAGCAAGGTGCTGATTTGTCTTTCAGTTTGTATGGTTTCTGTGATCGGGGTCAACTGCCATTTCTCACTATTCAAAAGCAGCTCAAGCCATGCTTTGGAATCCACTGAAATAAAAATAGTTACATGAAGTTTAACTTTGCTCTAGTATCACTTGTTCCCTATTTGACTGTACACTTCGATCTGACTTTCTGTTAACATTTCTAGCTAAGCGTTTGATTCTTAGTGGTCACTTTACTGACTTTCAACGTAAAACAGCTATCTCAGAAGATAGAACTTTCTTCATAGAAATGATCAAAAGACCATAGCTCTATTTCCTTCAGTTTCAAGGAGTACTGGTTGTTGTACTGTTGGCAGGAGCCCTGAGGTAGCTCACATGATCGAAGGCAGGAAGCCTCACCCCTTGTCCTGTGACCCCCACATACTTCAGGCTTGGATTCTAGGCTCCAAGTGGTCAGCATAGCAGCAGCAGCCTCTCTCCAAACCCTGGCTGTGTGAGCCGTAGGAACCAGCACCAGGTCATCTTCTGACATAGCCCTGGTAAAGGCGTGCGTGTTGGTGGCCACACTTGCCCCAGTGCTTGCTAAGGCTTTTGTGTCTAAGAACTGTTTGTACGTAGGTGTGAGGGAACCAGAGCCAGCCTTTTTCAGATGTGCCAGGCACACACACTACATCGATGACTTGGTGGTGGCTTCACTGCTGTCCAGGTGACTTAAGAAAGTGGAACATGTCCTGGTATACTTCAATTCCTACTAGACATTGTAATGACAAGGGTGTGGGTAGGGAAGAGTTAAGGCTACCAGTTGTGGAACAAATAGTTGCATTTCCAAAGAAGCCTTAGGATGATTGTGCATATGCATTTGGCTCACATAACCAGCATGAATAGTCTCTCCCCACATCCATTCGCGATTCACTGTCCCCCACCAAGCACAGCCCTAAAACAATTCATCCACTTTCCTGTTAAGAAACACAGCAGCAATACACTTTGGCAGCAAACCAGAGCATATGATATGACTTGCTCAACCTTATCTCCCTTTCCAAATTCTTTACTAAGCATCTGATGTTTTTTAGAGTAATTTCCTTTGGAAAGCCAAGGAGAAAGCAAATTAGGAAGACAGGGAGAAGTGAGAAATGGTGGTTTGGCTGAGGAACAAGGTGCTTAAAATCTGAATGAAAGTATTTTGAGAGCAGTGTTTCAGATGCTAAGGGTTATAAGAATTCTTTTAAGAGTTAGAATTTTACTCTGCTAGTTACAAGTTTTAAAGTCACGCTATAGGTATGTTATCTTATATTTTGTGAATATAAGTTTCATAGAAATTACAGCTAATGGTCTTTTCCCTCCAGTGCCAGCGAGGGGTGTGGGAGCACTTCAGCTCCGTAGGGACCAGCGTTGTGGCGTCTAACCACATGAACGTAACTGTGTCAGCAGTTGCAGAAAGGAGCCTCTCAGGACAGTAGCCGCCACACGGTGCCGGGATTGTAGTGGGGAGATGGGTGGGACTCTCCGTGCTGTTAACACTTGCATGCTCTGAATCTTTGATCAGAGACAGTGTGGCATCTGTGGCATTTCCACCCCACCTTGTGGTAGCCTTTAAAAGTGGTAGAAGATGCTGCCCTAATTACCCCAGGATGATTGTCATTCCATGTAGCATAATATGCCGCTAGGAGTTTTCTCATTCCAATTCTTTGGACTTTGTAACATTGGAATTGTTTTTCCATGATTTCCAACATTCCATAAATATTTGTCAAGGACAAAGAAAAGGAATGTGGCTGTTTATTCTTTTCGTATCAATGGCTTTGTACACATGACTTCCTGCTTTCATTATGAAGGAGGAGAAGCTAGCTCCCTTGTATGGTAACTGCAGAGTTAAAAGACTGTGCATGTCTGAGGGGTTGAATATATTTTGTAAAACTCTAAATACATTTGTATGTCTGTGCTGTTCTAAAGTTTACCTTTTTACTTCAAGATATAGAAACTATATATTTAAATCATGTAAAAGGAACACAGTTTGGGGGGTTTTTCCAATCTTACTTTTCATCAGCTTCTCACACGTAGTATGCTGCTCAAATGTTTTCGTGTGTGCAATATGAACATTTGAACATTTCAGTCAGGTACTGAGCCAGAAAAGATAATGGAAGTTTTCAGAAAGCTTCTGTGCTTAGAAAATACTTTGTTTTCTTAAAACGTTAGTATTTTATAGCTGGAAGAAGATCAAGAGTCATGTGTTTCCGGCCACTTGGTCATTGGTTCCTGAATTTAGGAAACATTTGATTAATGAGTTGGTGAAGGCATTTAGTGGTTACAAAAATAGTTCAAATATTTAAAATTAAAGGCTTTTCACAAACCTTTTCTAAGAAAATTTAGCTAAGAGAACTTAAAAAGTTTTCTAAGGAAGTTTAGCTGTGGCACGTTTTGATCAGAAAGGTAGTTTGCTCTGGTAGTTTTAAACTTTGTACTGGTTCTTTGTTTCTGTTGTTTGGGGGTTTTTTTGAAATTGTTAAAATTATAAATCATGTCTAATCATACTGAATTGTAAAACTTCTCTTGTATCTTTATTTTAAGCACAAACGAGAATAAAATGATGCTGTTTGCTCTGCACGTGGTTGGACCTGACCTGTCCTTCTAGAAGTGCCCTGTGTGTTGTCCATGTGGTTTTTTTCCTGCTTCACAGTTCAGTAGCAGCTTCATTTATTAAGAAACCACACAGAGTGAACTAAAGATTCATTACTCATTTACTTTCGTTTTGACATTGCTGACAGTGGTGCCTCAGCTTTCAAGGCGGTGACCTCTGCAGGAAGAGCCCCGTGGCTTCTGTGGAACGCCAAGTGCAGGGAGCTCGGTCACAAGACAATGTCACATGAGGACACTGTCCCAAGCAACCCATTTTGTACCTGGACCAGTAAGTGTCAAAATAGCCCTTGACATTTCCACTGAGGAGTCACGGCACATTTCCATGTACTGGCTTCCCTTACAACTGTTCAAAACGGGCTTTGAAGTGTGCTTCACGGAAAAAGTGGACAAACCTCCTCGCCCCCAGGAATGCTTCCCTTGAGTGCTGGTGCAGGGTTAAGCTTAACCTACCAGTGTTCTTTGATGTGGACCTTGAGAGCCCTGGAGCTGATGGGATGACAGGACAGTGGAGCTTCCTCTACTTGGGGAAGAGAAGGCATCCCTGGCCCTTTGCTGGTGTCCTCCTCAGACTGGGCTCTGCTGTGGGGATGTGATGGGTCCCTATCACCCGCCAGGGAAGAGCTGCCTACCCTTCATTCTGATAGGAGTTGCAGTTATTGCATCTGGTAACAGCTGGAAGGAGTGTGATTAGGGAGCCAGTTTTTTGCAAGGAAAGTTCTTTCTACCCTCCATGAAGGGCTTCTCTCTGCCTGGGGTGATCCACACAGGGTTGGGGAAGCCACTGCAGCAGGACTGACCTGTCCAACTTCACCATCAACAGACCCTCACGCGGCACATGTGGACACTTTGTGTGATCATGAAGATCAGAATGGTTGTGTTCTGTGTTCTTAATCCCATAAATTACACAATGAATTACATGGATGTAGGCCAGGCCCGGGAAAATGTTGAAAGCACTTGATGAAGCGCTGATCATTGTTGAGGCCGACTGATGGGTACATAAGGGCTTCTTAGACTATTCTGTTTGTGTATGTTGGAGGATTCCCATAATGAAGAGTTGAAAACTACTTGCTAGCCATTAAACAACTTTGTTACCCATGAAAATGCACCAGTTCCTGTGCAGCAGACCCTGAGTGCCCGACTTAGGAATTGGCTTAATTTCGTAGCTTCTCCACAAATGGCCTGGCCTGGCCTGGCCTCCACAAGCCCCCTCACCAGCTGAAACCTTGGCCGTCGCTGTTGCCTTCCCACCCCTCTAGTTGTTGGAGGAACCCCGTACTTTTGAGAGAAGCCCTCATACATAGTAATCAAAGACTCAGCCCAAACCTCTCCCTCGTTAAAGTCTCCCCAGGCTACTCTGAGTCCTTTCTAAAATACCTGGATTCTCTGGCCAGGCGCGGTGGCTCAAGCCTGTAATCCCAGCACTTTGGGAGGCCGAGGCGGGTAGATCACGAGGTCAAGAGATCGAGACCATCCTGGTCAACATGGTGAAACCCATCTCTACTAAAAATACAAAAAATTAGCTGGCCATGGTGGCGTGTGCCTGTAGTCCCAGCTACTCAGGAGGCTGAGGCAGGAGAATTGCCTGAACCCAGGAGGCAGAGGTTGCGGTGAGCCGAGATCATGCCATTGCACTCCAGCCTGGGTAACGAGCGAAACTCCGTCTCAAAAAATAATACCTGGATTCTCAGGGCGCAGTGGCTCACGCCTGTAATCCTAACACTTTGGGAGGCCAAGGCGTGAGGATTGCTTGGGTCCAGGAGTTCAAGACCAGCCTGGGCCACATAAGGATACTTCGTATCTACAAAAATTTAAAAATTAGCTGGGCGTGGTGGCATCTTTCTCTCGTACCAGCTACGGGGGGTGAGGGGGTGGCTGAGGTGGGAGGATCGCCTAAGCCAGGAGGTCAAGGCTGCCGTGAGCCATGATTGTGCCACTGCCCTTCAGCTTGGGCAACAGAGCAAGACTCTGTCTCAAAAAAATAATAATAAATCATTCTACTATAAGGACACATGCACACAAATGTTCATTGCAGCACTGTTTACAATAGCAAAGACCTGGAATCAACTCAAATGCCCATCGATGATAGACTGGACAGGGAAAATGTGGCACATATACACCATGGAATACTATGCAGCAATCAAAAACAATGAGTCCGTGTCCTTTGTAGGGACATGATGAACCTGGAAATGATCATTCTCAGCAAACTGACACAGAACAGAAAATCAAACACCGCATGTTCTCACTCATAGGTGGGTGTTGAACAATGAGAACATGTGGACACAGGGAAGGGAGCACTACACACTGGGGTCTGTCAGGGGGAAAATAGGGGAGGTGGGGACTTGGGGAGAGATAGCGTGGGGAGAAGTGCCAGATATAGGTGATGGGGAGGAAGGCAGCAAATCACACTGCCACGTGTGTACCTATGCAGCAATCTTGCATGTTCTTCACATGTACCCCAAAACCTAAAATGCTATAAAAAAATAAAACAAAATAATAATATACCTAGATTCAGTCCTTATTGAGGACTATGTAAAGAGGAGCTTCCCAATCGTGGAGATCTGCCATACTCAGTGTCACACATAGTCCCTGACACATGTGCAGTTCCTGACCCCGTGGACTTTGCTGTTCAGTAGGTGGGGGTGGGCATTCACCGTAGAGGGGAGTGTGTGCTAGGTGGTGGGGGGAGTGGGAGTGGCACCAGCACAACATGGGGTGGAGGGCGGGTAGCTGCTTTTTCACAGGGACCAATAAATGTCTCTTCTGAGCATTAAGTTGAGACCTGAGGGAGAGTCTTCCAGGTGAGGTGGGAGTGAGGGGCGCACTCATGAGAGGTAAAGGGCTCCGGGGATGTTTTTTGGAGTGGCTGAAGGTAAAATAGCAAGGAGGATGGGCTAGAGATGAGGCCAGGAAATAAGGCCATATTGGGAGGAGAGGCCTGTCAGCCTGCGGACAGGGAAGAGCCTTCCAGGGGTTCCCGCAGGCAGGTGGCAGGTTGGCTGGGTGCTGCCTGAGGAAAGTTTTCCGTTGTGGGCACCGCTGCTTCCTCTTTGCTGTAAAGTCAGTGATGTTGCTCAGCTGACCTCTGAACTCAGCCACCACCCCTTTCCCTTCCTCTCTGGCCTTCACAGCTTTCCACTTAAATCACATTTGTCCCAAACACAATAAGGCTGAGAAGTCTATGGCCCTCGGTCAAACTCACTCACGGCTAGAACACACTTTTCCCGATTTCACCAGACAGCAGGTCTGTGGAGGTTGTTGACGAAAAGAACCTGTCGAGTGATGGTGTCCCTGCCAGGAAGCCAAGGTTAGAGAAGGCACCTGAGCATCTGTTTCCATGACTCTCTCTGGCTAAGTGGAGACCCAGGAGACACGTGGCAACACCGCCGCGGTGATGTGCTTAAACTTGGAGAAAACCCGCTGTTGCTTCAGGTCATTTACAAGCAATAAGGGAGTCATTTATGGACTTTCAATTATATTCAATTCATGGAATTTTTTTTTCTGATAAAATTTAACCAACAACATTCATGCTCTCAGGAACGCTGAAGGCGAAAGTAGGACAGTGGAGAATTTCTAAAGTAGCCTGTCCACCTGCCTCGTCAGCTCTGCCCTAGAAAACCGGCACTGAGCAGCACTTCCGAGAAACCACAGCGGCTGAAGCGAAATTACCCCGTCCTTGTCTCCCACATCCTGAATTGGTTCTTTGTCCAGGGCCATCCATTTAGAAACCAGAGCTTCTGTGGCCTTGATACACCAGTCTAGCTAAACCCTTCGAAATGGAAATTCCCAGGTGAAGTTTTAACGAATGAAGATCACCCACTTTATGGTCATTAAAACCACAAGGTCAGCAGGACTAGAATTTTTTAATCTTATATGTTTTATGACCTTTAAAGTGTGTATTTTCATTAGTGACAGATCCCTCACTTTGACTTTCCAAGTGGAAATGATTTTTGTTTTGAGTGTGGTTAATTCCATTCCTTTGAGTATCTGGTCTTAATCCCTAGAATTTCTTTTGGAACCTTGTTGGAAATGAAGGATAAATAGTCACCAGTCCTCTAGTTGGAAAACATGTCTGTTTTGTTTTTTTAAATTTTTGTTCTTTAAATACACAGTGTCACTGTGTTGCCCAGGCTGGTTTGAACTCCTGGGCTTAAGCAATTCTGCCTCAGCCTCCCAAAGTGCTGGGATTACAGGCGTGAGCCACCACGCCCGGCTTGTTTCCTTTTAAGTTGTCGCGTTAACCCTGTGACCGTCCTCCCTGGAAGGACAGGTGTTTCCACAGCTCCTAATGTAATTCATAGGGAACTCGACATGGATTTCCCATATGGACAGTGTTGTTTATGGGAGCTGTGTCTCAGCCGTAAAAGACAGCCAGAGCAGATACCAAAATACCAGTCACACGTCACTAACACTGTGCAAAATGCGTCATTGGTGACTTCACTGTGTGTGAACAGCACAGCGTGTACTTACAGTAACCTAGATGGCAGAGCCTGCTACATAGTTAGGCCGTATGGCGTGGCCTGTCGCTCCCAGGCTACGAACCTGGGCAGCCTGGTACTGCTCTGGATCCTGTGGGCAATGTTCACATAATAGTACGGATTTGTGTATCTAAACAGAAAGGGTACGGTAAAAAGACTGCATTCTTATCTATGGGACCACCATCGTATATGCTGTCACTGACCGAAGGTTCACTGCGTGGCGCGTGACTGTGTGGTATAAAGTCCCGGAGAAGTGTGCAAGATAGAAATGCGCTGACAACCTGCCCGCTGAAACCCTAACTCCCATCCACTGCAGCCCCAGCAGAGGAACTAAACCTTCACTCAGTCTCGTTTTGTTTTGTTTTGTTTGAGACGGAGTTTCACTCTTGTTACCCAGGCTGGAGTGCAATGGCACGATCTCAGCTCACCGCAACCTCTGCCTCCCGGGTTCAGGCAATTCTCCTGCCTCAGCCTCCCGAGTAGCTGGGATCA